ACTGGAGTTGAGAAACACTGGGTTTAATGTAAGAGTGCCAAACAAGTCAAACTTGCAGTTTATTTGAAGTCTTGTAGACTTCACCTCCGCAACATCTCCAAGATACGACCATTCCTAACCACGGACACCACTAAGCAACTTATTCACTTCCTTGTTATATCACGCCTTGACTATTGTAACTCCCTCCTCATTGGCCGACCTCATTGCAGGCTATCCCCTCTTCAGTCTATCATGAATGCTGCTGCCAGACTCATCCACCTTACTATCTGTTCTGTATCTGCCACCCCTCTCTGCCAATCCCTCCACTGTCCTCCACTCAGTGTCCTCCACCCCTCTCTGCCAATCCCTCCACTGTCCTCCACTCAGTGTCCTCCTCCCCTCTCTGCCAATCCCTCCATTGGCCTCCACTGGCCACCCCTCTCTCCAATCCCTCAGTGACCTCCATCCCTCTCTGCCAATCCCTCCACTGGCCTCTCCACTCAGTGTCCTCCACCCCCTCTCTCTGCCTCCATCTGCCAATCCCTCCACTGACCTCCACTTAGTGTCCTCCACCCCTCTCTGCCAATCCCTCCACTGACCTCCACTTAGTGTCCTCCACCCCTCTCTGCCAATCCCTCCACTGGCTTCCCATTGCCCAACGGATAAAATTCAAAACACTAACAACAATATAAAGTCATATATAAGTAATATATAACTCTGCCCCAAATTACATCACCGATCTTGTCACTAAATATCACCCAGACTGTCCTCTCCGCTCCTCACAAGACCTCCTGCTCTCTAGCTCCCTTGTCTCCTCCTCCCATGCTCATTTCCAGGACTTTTCCAGAGCTTCCCCCATCCTCTGGAACTCTCTACCCCAATTTATCAGACTATCGCCTACTCTGCTCACTTTTAGGCGATCTCTGAAAACCTATTTCTTCAGGGAAGCCTTTCCTGCCCTCAGCTAATAATGGAATCTTCTACTCTTCCAACCACTCCATCTCCCACAGTTACTACCTTTTGTACCACTATCCCCTCCCTCTTAGATTGTAAGCTCCCAGGATCAGGGCCCTCCTAATTCTCTTGTATTGAACTGTATTGTTGCTGTATTGTCTCCCGTTATATTGTAAAGCGCTGAGTAAACTGTTGGCGCCATAAATCCTGTATAATAATAATAATTTGCAATGTCCATTGAAATTCTGCATTTCATTTCTGATGAATTTAAGCCTAATAAGAGGAGTCCATTAGAACCCCTGAAACATGATGGCATTTGAGCCAATATGTGTACTACGTCCAGTGGCGTAGCACGCGCGTGTTGAAATTAGATCCACAGCAATCATGGCGTCGGCTGCCCGATGTCCAGCGCTGCCGCTATCGCTCAGACTCCTTGCAGAGCTTTCAGTTGGGACCTCACCAATCCCAGTTTCGGCTCCTCTGCAGCTCCCCACTCTATCTGGCCCACGTGTAGGGAGGAGAGCCGGCTACTCCTAGCAGTGTGGGAGGAGGAGGTGGCACACAGCTCACACTGGACTCCACCACCAGTCCGATGCCAGCCATGCCCTCAGAGAACACCGGGTGGTGTGTGGGGGACGTGATTGGAGATCTGCTTTCTCTTTTACCCTCTTTTTTTTTCTGCCTCTATTTTACTCTCTCTTGTTAGGTACAAACAATGCTACACCACTGAGTATGTCACGTCTGAAGATGTGATCAGTCAGCCACAGTAAAACGATGCATGCAACAAGTCTAGCATTCCTGCCGCAAAAGAACTAAAATTGTGCCTTAAACGTTTCCCCGCCGCAGTATAGCAGCTATACTGCTACCCGGCGGCACTGGTGCGCATAATCACGTATATATAAGTGACTTTGCATTTCCGGGTAGGGGGGCGCATTTGAGCAACGTGCGCGCCCTACCCTCACAGCCATTCGCGGCCACGGATGTCAATCACCGGGTCCTGGCCAGTGAATACCCACCAGCACCCGGTGATTACCGACAATCACCGATGGGGAGGAAGACTGTTTTGTTTACAAACAATCTTCCTCCCTGTCAGCTTGGGCACGCTGCACAGCACAGCCATCCCAATCAGTGGGCTTACAGTGAAGCACACACCCCCCCCCGCCCCCTAGTAAAACACTCCCAGCACATAGTTAACCCTTTGATCGCCCCTCACATTTACCCCTTCCTGCCCAGTGCCATTACTACAGTGTCAGTGCTGTTTTCTGTCATCTTTCGGATCAGATCTTGAAAATGCTGAGTAGCCCAAATCTCTTGAGCAGCTGACCCTTCACTGTGATGTTGTCTTTTTGAAAGATTTGGGCTACTCCATATTCCTTGGGATCTTGTCAACAGAAGGATAACATCAACCCTGCACTATGGAAGTTGGAGAGTGACAAATTTCCAACTATCCCCTCCCCAACTCGAACACAGGTTCTTTAACCTCCCTAGCGGTCTGATTATGTCCATATTTCTGTGTTCAAAGCTGTACCTTTTTTTTTTGCATGGAAAAATGTTGCTTTTTTTATTGTAGGCCTGTCATTTTTAGGAAACACTCACTGAAATCTGTCCAAACAAGAGTCTAGTAAACATCCCGGGTATGATAAAGTTTGAAACACTAAATCATAAATTATAACTTAATAATCATAAAAAATAATATAATACTACAATTAATTCAATAATGTAATCAAACCAAAAACACTGAAATTTGAAGTTCGCACATCGCTGAGCAAAGTCGCAGAATCGTTTTCAGTGTCTGATGACAAATTTCCCCCACCAATCATTATCACTCAATTCTGCAAGTGGTTCTGATTTACTATCGCTGTTCTCTAGCCGGTCTAAAACCGCGTCTGACCTAAAGGGACGCTTTTTGGACGCCATGGACGTTTCTTAGTTTCCAGGCAGAAAGAACAGTAAAAATGCAGGCAAGGCGCCGGACAAAGCACTCGGGACAAAATGTATGTGAAATGGTTTGATACAGGAATGTTATACTATGTGATTTTAGTGTATTTAGTGAATGTCACTTTTTCACATTTTTTTAATTTCCCACCAGTTCCATCCCCCGTACGTCCCGATGTTGCAGGGAACGGAACCCGGAAGACAGATGCCGGGGGGGACATCGCGGGAGCGCAGGACAAGGTAAGTGAAGAAGAGATCCCGGAGCAACGCTGCAGTGTATTCCCGAGTGTAGCTCGGGGGGGGGTTACCGCTTGTGGTGCTGAAACTTTACCCCGAGCTACACTCGGGAATACCGCCAGGGGGGTTAATGCAGGGGAGGAGAACACCTTGGATAAGCAGACCTTGCCACTGAGACTAGAATATGCATTAGAGGGAGAATCTAAAATCCAGTGCTCTATACAAGTCACTTTGTTCAAGCGGAATATAAAATAGCAATAAAGATAGTAAATGTGGGTTCATCAAGCTACAAGGGGAGCAAACAGATCCAACTCCAGCAACCATTATTGGAAATGTTTGAGTAAACAGCTGCCCAGATAGGCTCCTGAACCAATTCCGGCACTACAAGGAGGAGGAAGAAATGTTTTCAGTTGTCCCAGGAGTGAGGGAGGCACAGAGGCAACAGGCTGTGCAAGAGACGGACTTAGATGAATGACACCCACAACAGTCTAAACACAATGGATAAATCCTGAGTACACCAAACAATTTCCAGAGAAAACAACAAACGGGTAATAACATTTATGATTTATTTTTTTTCGGTTGATGTACATTGCGTTTTTAATTAACTGTCTGCTAATTAAATGACAGATGTGACTTCAAGCATTATAAAACGTTTCACTTACTAGTCAAGTCATCCAGTAGCTGACATCTCAGATCAAAATATTCTGTACACTGGGCTAACAATCTGAAATACACAATACGGTATATATAGGATACAGTGTATAAATCTATGAGATATAAAAGCAATGTTTACTTACAAGAAAGATAAACTATTGATAATTCTTGGGGTACTAAACATACCAAGAAGCTGAGCATGTCTTAAGCCGGCCATAGATGGATCAATTCTCGGGTGCTTCAGCGGGGAACGGTCCAGATTCAATCCATCTATGGGCAGGCTGATTTTAACCAAGTAGGTCGATAAATCGACTTGGATACAACCAACCTGTCGGATATTTTACGATGACTTCCGCCGGCTATGGAAGCTAGCAGTAACCGTGTTCTGTCGGTAGGGAAGGCTCCCTGTCGGCAGAACACAACAGCACTGCGGGAAGGATTCCCCCATCAACACGGACTGTGTTCCTTCCACCCGTGGCCAACAATACTGCAGCTGGAAAGAAACGAGAGTCACAAGTAGAAATCCAAATACAGCAATTGTGTAAAATACCAACAATTCCAGCGTATTTATTTTTGTGGTGGCCGCTACGATATCCAATCCAACACGTAAAGTGATTGTAAAGCCTACAGTATTTTTTTTTTTTAATTTAAATAACAAACATGTAATACTTACCTGCTCTGTGGTTTTGCACAAAGCAACCCTGAACCTCCTTTTCTGGGGTCCCCCGCCGGCATTAGGGTAAAGACCCTTCTTCTGCCTTTACAGCCACTTTAACCTGGACATAGACGGATCGAAAGTTGGCCATTTTAACAGGGAGCGGCTGAAATTCAATTCATGCGTATCCACTCCTGTTTGACAGAAGTCAACCATTATATTGATTTCTGTCAAACGGGAATGTTGGAAAACTTTTGTTGATCAGCTGCAGTCGCTGATCAGTGTATTTGGGCAGCAGAGAGGTCCGCTGTCAGAATACAATGTCTTGGGGGTGGGGGTTGTAGAAATCGGCCATCCATCTTTTCTATGAATGGAGGAATCTGTTGAACAAAACTTCAGTACAGAAGAGTAGGCTGTACAGCTGTGCAAGCCTGAAGGATAGGCATGAGCTCCCGAACAATGGTCCTGATCCAGGGGTTGGGAGATACAGGGATCATTATGGGTCTTCTGATATGACTTTATTACCGTTTTTTATTTCTGATCCCTGGCTCTACTTTTCAGCTCTAAAATCTCACTGACCCCCCCGTTCACATCTGTGCGGGTGGTGCCGCTGTGGATCCGCACGAAAATCCGTGCAGCCGCACCACCCGCACAGAGAATTGGGAACCCGCGGGTGGGTGCCATTAATTCTAATGGCACGCTGCCCACACTGGGAACCGCAACCGTACTGGGAACCGAGGTTCCAGTGCGGGCTGCGTTTTCAGAAGAAGTGCAGGGACTTCTTCTCTGCATGTCACGGGGCACGGAGTCCGTTCAAATGAATGGGCTCGTGTGCCCATGTAAAACGCGGCCCGCACGGCCGCATATTTGTGCGCCGGCTTAGGCTAGGATCACATCTGTGCGGGTGGTGCCACTGCGGATCTATTTATTTCGGGTACTTATATAGCGCCATCAATTTATACAGTGCTTTTTCCATATATATTGTACATTCACATCAGTCCCTAACCCTCAAGGAGCGTACAATCTAAGGTCCCTAACTCACATTCATACATACACATACTAGGGACAATTTAGACAGGAGCCAATTAACCTCCCAGCATGTCTTTGGATCTGCACGAAAATCCGTGCAGCCACACCACCCACACAGAGAATTGCGAACTCGCGGGCGGGTGCCATTTGTTCTAGTGGCACGCCGCCCACACTGGGAAATGCAACTGGGAACCTCGGCTGTGTTTTCCAAAGTAGTGCAGGGACTTCTTTCCCTGCTTGTCACGGGAGTCCATTCAAATGAATGGGCTTTCATGCCCGTGCAAAACGCGGCCGCATATATGTGAACCGGGGGTAAGCATACAAGGGTGGGGAAAGAGAAACTCATTGACTGTCCGTGTCCCTTGCCCATGCACAAAAACCTGGATCATGGGGGGAAATGTAGTTGGGGAGCTGCTGCTACATCACAAAATTTTGCGGTTGCTCAGAGTAAATCTAAAACCCTTCATAAAATCAATATCGTGTGAATACTGAAAAGAACGTCTATTGAACGTTGCAGACACCACAACAAGTCTTACCTCTGGTTGATGCCTCTCATAATGCTGGTCGGTGACCACAATGGCAGTTGTGCAGACAAGACGACCCCCAGCAGGAAGAGGTTGGGCTTTTGCACGTCGGGGTAGGCGGATGTGTCTGTCTGACTCAGTGTGTACAGTTGGTCGCAGGCAACACGGCGGATCTGCAGAAACAGAGACACGGGTGTACTGAATGCTGCCTGCACAGAGAACCGCGGAACTAAAAAAACTCCTCACGCTCATCGCAGCTCACCTCTGCACTTGGGGAGCCCAGGAGAATATCGATTATGAAATCGGCAACAGAAGGCAAATTGTAGAAAGATCCTGCAAATAAACAATCCAATTAAACACAAGAAACCTTTTTTAAATTCCTTTAAATACTTTCATATTCCCAACAAAGCTGAGAAGTAATGTGCACTTATGATACCTTCTTCCTATCTCCCCACCTTCTGATCAACATGCAATTAAAAATTTTCACTGAAATTAATTTCATCCTCTTGAGACCCAGTGATGTCATTACTGGGGTCTGTGTGCACAGAGGTTGGTGGAAGGGACTGGCAGGCTCCTGTAAGGGCTCATGTACACTGCAGCTGCTAAACTGACGTTCAGGTTTTCTGCGTTTTTTTCAGCAGTCCCTGAACTCTCCCTAATGTTTTCCTATGTGTCCGTGTACACATCGTCCTTTACAGGCAGTTATTATTATTATTATACAGTATTTATATAGTGCTAAAAGGGTTGCTCAGCGCTGTACATTATAGTGGGGGACAGAACATGAGACAATACAGTAACAATACAATACACGAGGGGTTCGGGGGCCCTGCTCTTTCGAGCTTACAATCTAGGAGGGAGGGGATAGTGGTACAGGAGGAAGTGGCTGTGGGGGATGGAGTGGTGGGAGGAGTGGAGGAGATCGGCAGTTAGGTGAGGGTGGGGTAGGCTTCCCTGAAGAGATTGGTTTTTAGGGTGCGCCTCAAGGTGAGGAGGGTAGGTGACAGTCTGATGGATTGGGGTAGGGAGTTCCAGAGGATGGGGGAAGTCCTGGAGAAGTCCTGGAGTCGGGCGTGGGAGGAGGAGACCAGGGAACTAGAGAGAAGGAGGTCTTGTGAGGAGCGGGTGTTATTTGGATATTAAGTCGGTGATGTAGTTTCGGGCAGTATGATGGACGGCTTTGTACGTCAGTGTTAGGATTTTGAATTTGATCGGTTGGGCAATCGGAAGCCAGTGGAGGGATTGGCAGAGGGGGGTGACGGATAGTGAGTTCCAGAGGATGGGGGAAGTCCTGCAGTCGGGCGTGGGAGGTGGAGACCAGGGAGCTAGAAAGTAGGAGGTCCTGTGAGGAGCGAAGAGTACGGGTTGGGTGGTATTTGGGTATCAGGTCGGTGAGGTAGTTTGGGGCAGCGTTGTGAATGGCTTTGTATGTCTGTGTTAGTAGTTTGAATTTAATGGGTTGGGCAATCGGGAGCCAGTGGAGGGAATGACAGAGGGGGGTGGAGCCAGTGGAGGGAATGACAGAGGGGGGGTGGCAGATGCGGAGCGGTTGGTAAGGTGGATGAGTCTGGCCGCTGAGTTCTGGATAGACTGAAGCGGGGATAGTCTGCGATGAGGTAGGCCGGTGAGGAGGGAGTTGCAGTAGTCCAGACGTGAGATAATAAGGGAGTGAACGAGTAGTTTAGTAGTGTCTGGGGTGAGGAACGAACGTATTTTGGAGATGTTGCAGAGGTGGAGCCTGCATGAGTTTGCTAACGATTGGAAATGGGGTTGGAAGGACAGGTTTGAGTCTAGAGTGACACCTAGGACTTTGGCTTGTGGGGTGGGACTGATGGTGGCGTTGTTGGTCGTGATGGAGAGGGTGGGGGGGGGGGGGGCACGTTGAGTTTACAGTCGTTTTTTGAACGCACCAAACTTGCGTTCAGGAGTAGATTTTATCAGCGTTTCAAACGCTTGTTAACGTGTGTAAACACGAGACTTTAGTATCACTTTAAGCTTTTAAGCAGAGTGTAGCTGGGAATCAATCCAAAGAGCCCCCCATGCCGAAAGCCCAGAGTGCTCAGCCCCAATACTGAGTAAAAACATAAAACAGGCGAAGGTGTTATCTGACAATCTGTACGGGAAATGCCAACACATACCTAGCTGCTGGCTGCGCAGCTGCAGACAGGTCACCAGGAGGGACAAGGCTTCTCCAGCAATAATGGCATCTTTGGTGGACACTGACTGCTGCCGGACACAGATCCATGCGTGTAATGACGTGGCCTCACCTTCACTTCCAGAACTGCAATTACTTCCTGCAAAGAGAACAAGTCGTTGCTGACTTCGATCATCATTATACAGCTACAGAGAACCAAGCTGAACAGGAGGGCAATAAAAATGAAGCATAGTAACCACCGATACTTGAAGCATAGTAACCACCGATACTTGTAAAGGTCGCTCACATATCAGCAACAGTCAGCACATGTACGTCATTATGTTATAACATGGAAATCTTTCTGATCCAGAAACAGTGGTCTCACACCTGAGCTGCTCAGTCTGCCCCGGAGTCCAGCAGGGAACAAGCTATTGTTGCTTTCTTTAATGGGTTGGTTGCTGCCGACGAGATCCAGGCGGCCAGCTGCCGCTGCCCATGACAGCCTCATGAAACAAGCCACAGTGCAGGTGAAATCATTGACTTCCATTGTCTGGAAAGACAGAGAGGGAAAGACAACAGCGGGCGCGTTATTATATTAGAGGAGGATGCGATAAAACAGCTAGATCAGCATTTCCCAAACGTTGGTCAATGTTCTCTCCCCATCATGACCATGCAGTATCAGACTATTTCCTGAACTATTAGGTGACCACTTCATGAAACAGAGGATTCTTTAACCTCCCTAGCGGTCTGATTATGTCAGTATTTCTGTGCTCAAAGCGGCACATTTTTTTGCATGGAAATATGTTGTTTTTTTTATTGTAGGCTGTAATTTTCAGGAATAACTCACTGAAATCTGTCCGAACAAGAGTCTAGTAAACATCCCAAGCAGGGGCGGACTGACCATTTGGAAACTCGGGCACTGCCCGAGGGCCCGGGGTCAGTAAGGGGCCCCAAGAGATACCCTTGGTACCTTTTTCATAGGCTTTTTTTGAGTTTGGGCAAGGACACAGGGGACCCATGATCCCCTATTGCCTGGGGGCCCATGAGTTGTCAGTCCGGTCCTGATCCCATGTATAATAAAATTTGAAACACAAAATCATAAATAATATAATAATCAAAAATAATAATAAAATAATAATTGTAATTCAATAACGTAATCAAACCAAAAACACTGAAATGTGAAATAGAGCGCCAAGTTAGCACATCGCTGAGCAAAGTCGCAGAATCGTTTTCAGTGTCTGATGACGAATTTCCCCCACGAATCATTATCACTCAATTCTGCAAGTGGTTCTGATTTACTATCGCTGTTCTCTAGCCGGTCTAAAACCGCTTTTGCCCTAAAGCGAGGCTTTTTGGACGCCATGGACATTTTTCAGTTTCCAGGCAGAAAGAACAGTAAAGATGCAGGCAGGGCGCCGGACAAAGCACTCGGGACAAAATGTATGTGAAATGGTTTGATACAGGAATGTAAGGGTGGTATTCTGACCACCACTGTAGGTGAGCACTGTTCCCTACCAGGGGCGGACTGACCATTTGGAAACTCGGGCACTGCCCAAGGGCCCGGGGTCAGTAGGGGGCCCCATGAGATGCCCCTGGTACCTTTTTCATAGGCTTTTTTGAGCTGGACAAGGATACAGGGGCCCCATGATCCCCTATTGCCCGGGGGCCCAATGAGTTGTCAGTCCGCCCCTGTTCCCTACCACTAATGTAAGGGACACTTTCCCAATGAACTCCATTAAACCAATCTTAGCAGGAGTTCCCTGATCTCAAGGGTTCCTCAGGGGTAAAATAGTTGAGAAAGGCTGCTCCTGCAAGAGATGATTTCACTGGCAGGATCAACAGGTATTTGTGAGCCTTTGTAGGGGGAATAGGAGAAAACTGTAAGGGCAAATGTACTAACAATCAAGTGTTGCATCGCATATTTTTAATGGGAGGCCATAGTTCTCATTTAAATTCTGCCATGTAAAGGAGTGTGCAATTGATTACCAGATAATACAAAAAGGGTACCATCTACAATATAGTAAAGTACCACCAGGAGAGAACAAGGACCTAGACCACGGATCACTAAATGGTGGACCACGGTCTGCACCTGGACCGAGTGACAATCTGGTCCGGACTGCAGCCAAGCCAATTATTAGCTAGGTGTTCTCTCCAGGGGCTGCCATCATCATCCTTACAGCGGGCAGGAGGTACGGTAGATCTGCACAGAGAGGGTAATCAACTGCTTAGCAAAATTTGGGCAGCTCCTGCGGGGATGATAGCGGTAGATGGGCAGCAGACCCGGGAGAGAACACCCAGCCAATAAGTGCATCTGCCCCTGGTAGGATTGTGCAGGGGAGGCTGCAACTGAAAGGGGGACAGTGGATGTAAGGGAGGAAAGAGGGGCTATGACTGCACGTGGCACTGTGATGTCTAAAGGGCACTGCGACGTAAAGGGGAACTGTGGACACTGATGTACAGGAGGGAGCTGTGATTTGAAGGGGAACTGAGGACACTACGGGACTGCTTTAAAGGAAGGACTGTGATGTACAGGGGGAACTGTGGACGCTGATGTACAGGGGGTACTTTGGACGCTGATGTACAGGGGGAACTGTGGACGCTGATGTACAGGGGGAACTGTGGACGCTGATGTACAGGGGGAACTGTGGACGCTGATGTACAGGGGGAACTGTGGACGCTGATGTACAGGGGGAACTGTGGACGCTGATGTACAGGGGGAACTGTGGACGCTGATGTACAGGGGGAACTGCGGACGCTGATGTACAGGGGGTACTGTGGACGCTGATGTACAGGGGGAACTGCGGACACTGATGTACAGGAGGGTGCTGTGATTTGAAGGGGAACTGAGGACACTACGGGACTGCTTTAAAGGAAGGACTGTGATGTACAGGGGGTACTGTGGACGCTGATGTACAGGGGGAACTGTGGACGCTGATGTACAGGGGGAACTGTGGATGCTGATGTACAGGGGGAACTGTGGACGCTGATGTACAGGGGGAACTGTGGACGCTGATGTACAGGGGGAACTGTGGACGCTGATGTACAGGGGGAACTGTGGACGCTGATGTACAGGGGGAACTGTGGACGCTGATGTACAGGGGGAACTGTGGACGCTGATGTACAGGGGGAACTGTGGACGTTGATGTACAGGGGGAACTGTGGACACTGATGTACAGGGGGAACTGTGGACACTGATGTACAGGGGGAACTGTGGACACTGATGTACAGGGGGAACTGTGGACACTGATGTACAGGGGGAACTGTGGACACTGATGTACAGGGGGAACTGTGGACACTGATGTACAGGGGGAACTGTGGACACTGATGTACAGGGGGAACTGTGGACACTGATGTACAGGGGGAACTGTGGACACTGATGTACAGGGGGAACTGTGGACACTGATGTACAGGGGGAACTGTGGACACTGATGTACAGGGGGAACTGTGGACACTGATGTACAGGGGAACTGTGGACACTGATGTACAGGGGAACTGTGGACACTGATGTACAGGGGTACTGTGGACAATGATGTACAGGGGGTACTGTGGACACAAAATGTACAGGGGAACTGTGGACACTTATGTACAAGAGGGAGCTGTGATTTGAAGTGGGGGTTGAGGACAGTGATGTACAGGAGGGAGCTGTGATTTGAAGGAGGGCTGAGGGCAGTGATGTACAGGAGGGAGCTGTGATTTGAAGGAGGGCTGAGGACAGTGATGTACAGGAGGGAGCTTTGATTTGAAGGGGGGCCGAGAACAGTGATGTAAAGAGGGCACTAGGATATGAAGGTGGCCATGCTGTAAAAGGGAGGCTGAAGACACTAATGTAAAGGGAGGCTGAAGACACTAATGTAAAGGGAGGCTGAAGACACTAATGTAAAGGGAGGCTGAAGACACTAATGTAAAGGGAGGCAGTGATGTGTTATAGAGCAATGAATGAGATTTAAACCTCTGCCAGAAGAAAATCTTTACCAACTGGACCTCCATAAATTTTAATTCAAGACCCCGAACTAGACCATAAAATTACCCCATGATATTGGGCATCACCTGAATGGCAACCCGAGCAGCAGGTATGATCTCCTCCACCCTGATAGACGACCGGTCAGACACAGACAGCTGCCGGTAGGATGACTTTTCTGGAGTGCCGCAGAGAGACATCTGACGGCCAGACTGGCGGCTTGCGTTCCTGAAAGGTCTCGATGACAACCCCTCAATGCCGTCTTTGGCTAAATCTTCATCTAAAGTAGCTGGCATCGTCTGCCCAACCAGTAAAAATCTGTAGAAAATGGAGACTCCCATCAGAATACGGTACGGCAAAAACAACTGAACCATTATCAATTCTTAAGAGGGCTTGTCATTAAACTAAAACACACCGGAAAGACATACAGTGCTGTGAAAAAGTATTTGCCCCCTTCCTGCTTTTTTTTTTTTTTTTTTTTTAGCATATTTGTCACACTTAAATGATTCAGATCAAATTCATTTTAATATTGTACAAAGAAAACCTGAGTAAATACAAAATGCAGTTTTTAAATGATTTAATTAAGGGAAAAAAATCTGTCCAAACCTGCCTGGTCCTATGTGAAAAAGTAATTGTGCCCCCTACCTTGCTAAATCATGAACGAATTGTGATTAACCATACTTTAGGGAAAGCCGAGTTAAATTTCACTTTCCACACCCAGTTCTGATTACTGCCAGACCTGTTGAATCAAGAAATTACTGTCTGACAAAGTGAAGCACACTAAAAGATCTCAAAAATGCAACACATCATGCCGCGATCTAATTCTAAGTACGGAAGAGAAAAAGTAATTGACATTTATCAGCGTGAAAAGGGTTACAAAGTCATTTCTAAGACTTTGGGACTCCAGCGACCCACAGTGAAAGCGGTTATCCACAAATAGGGGCAAATACTTTTTCACAACACTGTCTCTGAAAAAAGAAGTTTGGAAATAGTGACTTTTTCTGCTTAGCATGTCGCCAAACAAACATCATTCTGTTCAGTAAGAAAAAAAATCCTCCTCTGATGTCTGCAAGGAAACAGACATTTCTAGGACTGTTGATTCCCCTGAACCTCCTCTATTATTACAGGACACACATGGGATGGAAGCTGGGTGACACCGAGCTGATCATCACTGCTGGACATGTTTGTTTCCCTGCAGACGTCGGAGAATTATTTCTACTCAACAAAGAGGCGTTTGGCCTGTCTGGCATTTTTTTTTTTCAGTGACAGGGTCACTTTAAAGAATACACACCTGGCCAGCTGCAGACAAATAGAATAGACACCTTGTCTTGTCTCATAATCCACCTCTGATGGAATGGAGTCCCTCTGCATGACATTAACCACCAAACTGTCAAAGAAAAAGAAAGAAAAAAATCAAGTTACTCTTGAAAATGGAGGAATCAAAGCATCTCGGGTTATATAGCACGTTAAAGCGGTAGGTGACTACGTTACGTAAATGTCTTTTTAGGGGCCCCCAGGTGGGTTCTGCTATAAAGTGGTATTTTGAATTTTATGCATTGGGCAATCGGAAGCCAGTGGAGGGATTGGCAGAGGGGGGAGGCAGATACGGAGCGGTTGGTAAGGTGGATGAGTCTGGCCGCAGAATTCAGGATAGACTGGAGCGGGGATAGACTGGAGCGGGGATAGCCTGTGTTGGGGTAGGCCGGCGAGGAGGCAGTTGCAGTAGTCAAGTCGTGATATGATGAGGGAGTGGATGAGTTGCTTTGTGGTTTCAGGAGTTAGGAACGGACGTGTTTTGAAGATGTTGCGGAGGTGGAGTCTGCATGAATTTATCAGCGATTGTATCTGGGGCTGGAAAGACAGATTGGAGTCTAGAATGACACCTAGTACTTTGGCTTGCAGGGTGGGGCTGATGGTAGCGTTGTTGGTCGTGATGGAGAGGTCAGGAAGGTGGGGGGGGGGGGGGCACGGGCTGGGGGTAATACTAGGAGCTCGGTTTTAGCACGGTTTAATTTGAGGAAGTGGAGTGACATCCAGTCTGATATGTCGCTCAGTAGGTGGGTGATTTGGGCAGAGACTGAAGGGGTGAGGTGAGGGGTGGAGAGATAGATTTGAGTGTCATCGGCATAGAGGTGGTAGTTGAAGCCGTGGGAGTGTATCAGTTGACCAAGGAAGGAGGTGTAGATGGAGAAGAGAAGGGGCCCGAGGACAGAACCTTGAGGGACCCCAACAGAGAGGGGGAGTGAGGGGGAGGTGGTAGCGTTATAGGTAACACTGAAGGAACGTTGTGATAGATAGGAAGAGAGCCAGGAGAGAGCGGAGTCTCTGACTTACCTGCTGAACAGTGCCCTCCAGCGCTGCGATCGATCCGGCGGGACCTTCCATCTTCGCCCCGTCTTCCTTCTGGATTCCGTGCCTTTGCCTGTTTGACAGGCCGCGCCGCGATGATGTCACTCCCACACATGCGCAGGGAAGTCGCATTGCTGCGGCAGATTGGTGCCATAATTGTTTGCCTTCCGTTCTCATGGTTGGCATACTGAGCTTTTTGGATATAAAATTCTCCAAGGAATAGACCCCTTTCAAGACAGACTGGATTCCTCCAATGAGGACCTAGAATCTCTAAGGTATATAATAATAGCTCTTTCCAATGCGCCCAACAAACATCAAATAGAAGATAAAAAATAGAGACCAGACATGGTGAAGTACTACTTAAAAAACTTTTATTCTCTACCTGAGAATGCTACTTACAAGAAGTATGACAAATTAAAGCCAAAAGATGTGTTTCGGTTAATCAGAGAGGAAAGACCACACAATGCTCTCACCACTGCCGGTCCTCGTTCTCAGACAATCCCGTTTCACTTCCGGTCGCCGCTCAACCAACTGGCGCGTTTCGTCACCTCCTGACTTCCTATGATTAAGTCAGGAAGTGACGAAACGCGTCACTTGGTTAAGCAGCGACTGGAAGTGACGATTATCGAACCGAAAGTGACGCAGGATTGTCAGAGCGAGCACCGGCAGTGGTGAGAGCATTGTGCGGTCTTTCCTCTCTGATTCATCATTGGAGGAATCCACTTGGTCTTGAAAGGGGTCTATTCCTTGGAGAATTTTATATATCCAAAAGCTCAGTATGCCGACCATGAGAATGGAAGGCAAACATGTTTGGTGAGTGCATACCTGAGAGGGGAGCACGGCACAACTTCATATTGCTTCACTATTATTCACGCGGTGATTATTGGAAAATTGAATATGAATACGATTATGAATTAATTTCACGTGGTGATCGCAAAAATGGACTCAATCAGTTGGACTTATTATGTGTTTATATATTTTGAAAACCATTTGAGTATAAGCGCCGCATTAATATTTTATTTTTTTATATATTATTATGATGTTATCTTCTTTATTAGTTCAATGTGGCAGCATGTTATGAGATACGTGTACACTTTATAGATTTTATGATTTACACTTATACATTCACAACGCAGTTTGTTTTTGAGGGCTTTATACCTTAAAATACTTTTTAGTGCCATAAATGTTCGCTGAGCTTCGCGCACGCGGCTCAGTGTTCATGATGGCTGACAGGCAGGAGGATGCATTTACGAGATGGTATAAAAAAATTTTGAGACTAGCTCTGTTTGCAAGAAAGTACTTTATGTTTGTCACCTTCAAAATAATCCCCCTGCGCAGCAATACAGCGCTCCCAGCGTTCCCGCCACTTCTGGAATGTGTCCTAGAAGTCTTTTTTTCAAAGCGTGTCAAGCACCTTCTGAGATTTACGCTGGATCTCTGCAAGGTTGTCAAAACGGCAACCTTTGAGCTGGATCTTCATCTTTGGGAAAAGGGCGGAGTTTGCAGGAGCCAAATCTGGCGAGTAGGGTGAGTGTGGAAGTGAGATCATTGCAGCCTGGAGATGAACTTTGCAGGAGCCAAATCTGGTGAGTAGGATGGGTGTGGGAGTGAGATCATTGCAGCCTGGAGACATACTTGGCAGGAACATGGTGCACGCTCAAATCACAGGTGAGAATTGCCTGGACTGTTCCGTATGACTTCCCGACAATGGTGTGGATTGTTCTCCGACGATCATGCACGTTGCTGAATGGTCGACGGTCATGCCCCATCATTGGCGTTAGAGGGAGGAATAGTGTCCCATCATTGGTATCAGTGAAAGGAATAGTGCCCCATCATTGGTGTCAGTGGGAGGAATAGTGTCCCATCATTGGTGTCCGTGGAAGGAATAGTGCCCCATCATTGGTGTCCGTGGAAGGAATAGTGCCCCATCATTGGTGTCAGTGGGAGGAATAGTGCCCCATCATTGGTGTCAGTGGGAGGAATAGTGCCCCATCATTGGCGTTAGAGGGAGGAATAGTGCCCCATCATTGGTATCAGTGAAAGGAATAGTGCCCCATCATTGGTGTCAGTGGGAGGAATAGTTCCCCATCATTGGTGTCAGTGGGAGGAATAGTGTCCCATCATTGGTGTCAGTGGTTGGAATAGTGCCCCATCATTGGTGTCCGTGGAAGGAATAGTGCCCCATCATTGGTGTCCAGTGGAAGGAATAGTGCCCCATCATTGGTGTCCGTGGAAGGAATAGTGCCCCATCATTGGTGTCAGTGGGAGGAATAGTGCCCCATCATTGGTATCAGTGGGAGGAATAGTGCCCCATCATTGGTATCAGTGGGAGGAATAGTGCCTCATCATTGGTATCAGTGGGAGGATTAGTGCCCCATCATTAGTTTTAGTGGAAGGAATAGTGCCCCATCCTGGGTATCAGTGGAATAAATGATGCCCAATCATTGGTGTCAGTAGGATGAATAATGACCCATCATTGGTGTCAGTGCCAAAAATGGTGCCCCAACATTGGTGTAAAAAAAAAAAAAGTAATAGTGCCCCAACAATGGTGTCATTAAGAGGAACAATACCCCATTGTAGATGTCAATGGATGGAATTATACTCCACTGTTGGTGTCAATGCAAAGAAATGGCACCTCATCGTTGATGTCGGTAGGAGGAATAGTGACTTTTATCAATGGGAGAACTAGTGCCTAAAGGACTGGATAAAGGCAAGCAGAGGGCCACAGTCTGGAGACCACTGCTCTGGACTAACTGAGCTGCTAGGGATAACTTTTCATTTGCCGGAGTTGGGCTTTAATGGGGAAAAAAAAAAGGGTAAAAGGCATTGGCACATGTGGGAAAAAAACAACAACCGCTGACCTCAATCCTCCAGCTTTCAAGAAGTTTTCACAGAAAGACTTGGCACAGTTTCTGGCCATCTCATCATCTGCAGTTGGCATCAGTTTGGAGCTCAGAACCTGTATGGGAAGCAGACACCCATTATTCATAATAATCTTGAAAACGTGTAACAGAAGAACCTTCAGCAGACAATTTTTTCCAGACATTTTGGCAAAAAGTGCGAGTGTGTGGTAATAAAGACTCTTCTACAATGTAGGAGGTGCAACTGACTTTATCGGCAGGCGCTCAGAAGGGCCATGTTTGGGCAGCCCGGGGTCACTTGGTCACGGGATTACCTCCAGGTTGTAGAGCACACGGAAGGTAGACATGCCGGGGGCGGACGATCGGAAGAGGCTCTCGAGGATGGAACTGGCACTGAGCTGCTGCTGGTGGTGCTGCTTGGAGGACAGGGAGGGGGACTTTGAAGATTGCGAGTCGGAAAGCAGCGTCTTCTGGGTGGAATAAACACATTTTTCACTGAAAAGAATAGAAAGCCGGGGGAATGTACGCCATCAGCAGAGGAAAAAGCTCGCTTACCTTCCTTCCCAGGGAGTCCAGCTGATCGAGCGCTTCCTGCACAGCAGGATCTGTTGGGACCAAGAGCAGAAGTTTCCGAACCCTCACTGTAATTCTACGGGGCAAAACCAAGCTGTACATATTATTACATATAATACAGGTCACTGAGAAATGCCAGTTCATGGCTACAAGAATTATGTCTATGACTAGGTCCAAGTACCTGGGCTCCTCCAAGTTGGCCAGCTGATACAGCATATCAAACACGTTACATACTAATGCCATCACCACTCCTGGCAGAGACTTTTCCTGCAGATGGAAGCAGAGGCCAATAAGATGGAAACGTTCACTTTTACAACAAGAAACTCTGGGGTACTCGGGGCCGTGTTCTCCTCACCTGGTCCATGGCGTAGGAGGAACTGAAGCTTGCACCGCTGTTACTGGAGCTGGCTGATGTCTCTGCGGAGCTACCCGATGGCGTTCCACTGCCCAGAGTCTTTACAGTGAGGGCCTGGTCATCGGAAAATCCCAACTGATGGAGCAGCTTCTGGTCCTTATTGACGGTCAGCTGAAAACAAGCTCTGTGGTTAAAGAGAGCCTTCACCCTGCAGGTCATGTCATGTTGCCCTGCTTCCTCCCCCCACCCTCTCTTAGGGTCCATGTACACTGCAGCTGATAAACTGATGCTCAGGAGCTGTTCAGCGTTTTTTTCCAGCAGCCCTTGAACTCTCCCTAATATTTTCCTATGTGTCCGTGTACACATCTTCGTTTACAGTCGTTTATAGGCATTTGAGTTTACAGTCGGTTTTTTTGAATGCAGAAAACTTGTGTTCAGCAGTCGATTTTATCAGCGTTTCAAACTCTTCTAAACACGGCAAATCGTGTTTATAAGCGTTTGCATCTCAAAAAATTTTTTTCTAACTCTTCCAGTTCCCGATGCTGTCCAGAGCCTTTTTTCATCACGAAAAATGCCTACAAAGCGTTTTCAAGGTACTCAGATGGACAAAACACTGAACACAGGATGTTCCTGCCAAGCTTGTCACACATTGTAATGACCAATTCACACCTCAGACCTCTCCCCCCTTGGAAACAAAAGATATGTTACTGACCATTCACACCTCAGACCTCTCTCACCCTTGGAAACAAAAGATATATTAATGACCATTTACACTTCAGACCTCTCCCACCCTTGGAACACAAAAGATATGTTAATGACCATTCACACCTCAGACCTCTCTCACCCTTGGAAAACAAAAAATATGTTAATGACCATTCACACCTCAGACCTCTCTCACCCTTGGAAACAAAAGATATATTAATGACCATTTACACCTCAGACCTCTCCCACCCTTGGAAACAAAAAGATATGTTAATGACCATTCACATCTCAGACCTCTCCCACCCTTGGAAACAAAAGATATGTTAATGACTATTCACACCTCAGACCTCTCCCTCCCTTGGAAACAAAAGATATATTAATGACCATTCACACCTCAGACCTCTCCCACCCTTGGAAACAAAAGATATGTTAATGAACATTCACACCTCAAAAATCCCTCATGAAGAACCCCTGCCAGGTGACCCTAATGACTCCATCCAGACACCTTTCCCACCCTTGGAAGCAAAAGAAATGTTAATGAGCAACTCACACCTAAGCTAATCTCAACACATACTGCTGTCTCTGCTTCTACTCTCTGTATTTCTCTGAAACAGTCTGAAATAGTTAATTTACCACTTTTCAGTGCATTCTGGGTATTTGAGAGGTTCTCCTGTGCTTATCTTTAAAAAACGCTTCTAAATGCAAACGCACATAAACGCAGTATGCAAACACGACTAAACAGACATTTTTTCAGCAGTCAGTTTCCATCATTCAGAAGTGTCCCGTGTAAATGGGACCTTAGATTTGGCCTATATATATATATATATATATATATATATATATATATATATTTTTTTTTGTTTTCGTTAAACAAAATGTCAATTTGTGCTTACTTGCCTAGACGAGAATTATATTTCCCCCCCAATGCGTGCAGATGTGCCACAGAGCTTCAAGCCCGAGTGAGCCATGCAGCACAGCTCCACATGTGCTGACTTCTCTAGATAACTATGCATGGAGTTTCTGGCTGCTATCAGTGAATTCCCAAACCTTTCCGGTCTTTGCACATGCGTAGAAAATTGCCAAAGCGTGCAGAGGCACCAAAGATGCTCAAGGGTGGCGCAGGGGGTTTTGAGCCGTTACAGAACGGGACTGTAGTTCTGCTTTAACCACTTCTGGACCGCCTGCAATGTACTGTGGATAGGCAAAGCAATGTACGTTGCTACCTGCTTTCTGGTTTGGGGCGTGCCCAAGCACACCCCCCCTTCCCCCACTGACAACCTCTGTGATTGAGGGACCTGCTTATCGGCTGTATCCAATCACAGCCCAGAGCCCTGTGTTGACAATCAACACAGTACTCTGTACAAAGGGAACAATCTCCCTGTTTTTTCATCCCTGCAGGGATGAGAAACCAAAAAATCTACAGTATTAGTAAAAGCAGCACCAGGGGTGGACTGACAACTCATGGGGCCCCCGGGCAATAGAGGATCATGGGGCCCCTGTGTCCTTGCCCAAACTCAAAAAAGCCTATGAAAGGTACCAGGGGCATCTCATGGGGACCCCTACTGACCTGGGGCCCTCGGGCAGTGTCCAAGTTTCCAAATGGTCAGTCCGCCCCTGAGCAGCACTTAATACACACATTGAACCCCTTGATCGCCAGAGGTTAACCCCTTCTCAGCCAGTGTCATTAGTACAGTGACAGTGTATGGTCTTTTCACTGTATTAGTGCCACTGGTGATGTCAGTGGCAGTTAGTCAGTTCCCCCCAGCGTCAGATTGTCCTCCGCACTATCGAAGTCCCATTATAAGTCACTGATCACCACCATTAGTAGTATAAATTTTCTCACCAAGCTCTCATTGGCAAAGATCTGCAAGTTTTCGACAGGACAGTTGAGATGTCTGGAGATCTTCCAGCGGATGCTCCCCACCGTCTCATTGCTGTGGGCCTGCAACAAAAATGAAAGAAGTGAAAGGAGGGCTAGCAAATGCCATTCAGCCATAACACTGATTTGCAATAGACCGCAATAAAAGTAAAATTCAATATCACTTTATTTTAATCAAATAATCCAGGTTTATTGATATAGACGAGTACAAAAAAACAGTGAGGGGGAAAGGCTCAAACAAGACATGGTAGCTTCTGTCGCAGTAACATTAAGTACATAAAATAGAGTAGACAGATATCAATAACTAAGATACACAATACACAGCAATACAATGTGTATGATGCACAAATCCCTGAAACCTCACGTGTGAGGAAAAGGCAATAATGGGGTCATAGTAGATACCTTTAGTCCTGGTTCACACTGATACGGTGCGGAATTTGCAGTGTTTTCTGTGCAAATTCCGCACTGCATCAGAGTCGTACCCCGTTCATGCAAACTACTGTGGGTGTGTAAGTTAACAACACCCCGAAAGCGGTCCGAAAAATGGAGTGCGATGTGCAGAAACGGATCGCATAGGTGTGAATACCTGTGTGATCTGATTCTAGTGCGGACCCAAAAAAAGAACCCCCCCTACAGTGTTTGAATTCATTTGGGGGGGGAGGGGATTTTTGCCGACATATAATGCTCATACATTTTGCAGGGGAAGCTGTTTGGCATCTTTGCCCTGGGCGCTAGATAACCTTTTCCCAGAACTGGCTGTGAGGAAGGTCTGGGGGGCCAGGTGCCGAGCCGTGCTGTGTGTGTGTCAATAGATGCACACAGCCCGGCTTGGGATCAAGCCCACACGTGTTCCACCATAGGAAGCAGCTTCCTATGCTGGCACATGGAGAAGAAGAGTAGCTGAGAGCGCTGTCAGGGGCCCATGAAGAGGATGATTGGGGCCACTCTGTGCAATGGTTTATTTAACACAAAAAAAAAAATCTTTATGCCCAGGTTCACACTGATGCGGTGCGGAATTCGCAGTGTTTTCTGCGCGAATTCCGCACCGCATCAGAATCGCACCCTGTTCGTGCGAACTGCTGCGGGTGTGCATGTTAAGTTAACACCCCGAATGCGGTCCGCAAAACGCGGTGCGATGTGCAGAATCGGATCACATAGGTGTGAACACCTGTGCCATCCAATTCTAGTGCGGACCCAAAAAAAAAAAAAAAAAAAGGAGTCCTGCACCTTTTTGGTGTGGGTTAGAGCCATACAACATGTACGTCTCCGATCGCACCGCACACAAATCACATGTGATTCGCAGAGGAATGCGGTGCAGTTCCTGTACGAATCACATGCGATATACCGCACATACTATACATAACCTTTTTGTGATATATTACAATAAATAAAATAAACTAAATTAAAACAAAGTGTTCAATAAAGATCACAAAAGTCCAAAAAACCAAAAGTGTCCAAAAAAAAATTAAAATGTCCAAAAAAAAATCCAAACAATGTCCAAAAAAGTCCCAAATTTTCAAACTTTTTCATCAAATAAAAGGATTGACTCCTATTCCATCCAGTAAGAACCTCAAAAAATAAAAAGATTTGTGTGATTATGCGCACTATAAGAAAGCATTTTTGATTTGAATAATTTATTCATTTATTATATAAATATATATTTTTTGCACTAAATTGAGAGTTGCACTGGGTGATTACTTTAGTTTATTATGGTAATGTACTAGATTTAGTATCTTTTTATTTTTTGAGGTGCTTACTGGATGGAATAGGAGTCAATCCTTTTATTTGATGAAAAAGTTTGAAAATTTGGGACTTTTTTGGACATTGTTTGGATTTTTTTGGACATTGTAATTTTTTTTGGACACTTTTGGTTTTTTGGACTTTTGTGATCTTTATTGAACACTTTATGTTTTAATTTAGTTTATTTTATTTAATTGTAATATCTCACAAAAAGGTTATATATAGTATTGCACTATAGGGAGGAAGTATGACTTTTTGAGGGGTGTAAAGGAGGAGGGTATACATTTATTCAGATATACCGCACATATATGTGAACCCGGGCTTACAGGAAATTGTACAACACATTGAAAAGTAGCAGAGTAACACATACTCTTCAAGAGGTAAATGTGGTATCAGCCGGTAACCACCGATCCCAAATCTTAGAAGTAATTGTTTGGGCAGATTCTGTTAATATAGATCATTTTCTTACAGGGCAGAGTATTAATATCAGACATGGAAGCTGTATAGTGGGAGGTACAGCTTCAACCAACCTCTAGCTATCGACTTCCTGGCTGAAAACCGTTTCATGTAAAAATGTTATAGGAGGTTTGCCCAGATCAGATTCCTGGAAAAAAAGCCCAAAAGGCATTGCTTGGGGTCTAGTTGCAGTGGAGAACCCATGTGGCCGTGAAGAAATGATACAATCTGTTTGCAAAAGCCCTGAATCCGAGGACATTGCCAGATGAAGTGACTACATGTGCCTGGAGCAATAAGGCATTCAAGAGCACCGTCTACTACAAGACGGGCAAAATGTAGCCAAGCGTATCAGGGTGAGGTATATCCTATGAACAGGGCTGCTGATAGAAAGCACGGGGCCATATACAGCCAACCTGACAGCCCCCCCCCCAAAAAAAAACATAGCCTACTATACTTCAGTTAAAAACACAGTGAGTGATTGGTACTGATCACTCATTGTGTTCATTCAGGAAAGCAAGAGGCTGGTAAATGTGACATTTATCGGACCCATCACCCACGCTCCATCCTGAAGGATCCTATTGTGTGCTTGCAGCTGCCAGTGGGAAGGAGAAGATGGAAGCTGGAAGCACTGCGGGGGTGGGGGCACACAGGGAGGCCTGGGCAGCAGGGGGAAATTTATGGTGCACAGGGAAGGTGAGGGGTGCGGTGGGGAGGTTATTACTGGAACCCATCCCCTGTATGGCTCTAACTGCAGCAGCAGAAAGCCAGCAGGAGCTTTCAGCTGCTGCAGAGAGAGACATAGAGGGGGATCGGTTCCAGTAATTGCCTCTCCTACCATGCCAATCATCCTCCTGCCCACGTCCGATGCACCCAGCTGCCTGGGCCCCCTTGCTGGCCTGGGCCCTGTACAGGAAGACTGTTGGTATCCACAGCCCTGTCTATGAATAATATATAATACGGGAAGCACAGTGGCTAAGTGGTTAGCACTTCCGCCTGGCAATACTAGTGTTGTCGGTTCGAATCCCAACCACGGCGCCACCTGTCTGGAGTTTTCATGTTCTCCCTGTGCCTGCATGGGTTTCCTCCCACACTCCAAAAGACATGCTGGTAGGTTAATTGGCTCCTGTTTAAATTGTCCCTAGTATGTGTATGTATGAATGTGAGTTAGGGACCTTAGATTGTACGCCCCTTGAGGGTTAGGGACTGATGTGAATGTACAATATATACAGTCAGGTCCATAAATATTGGGACATGGACAAAATTCTAACATTTTTGGCTCTATACACCACCACAATAGATTTGATATGAAACTAACAAGATGCGCTTTAACTGCAGACTGTCAGCTTTAATTTGAGGGTATTTACATCCAAATCAGGTGAACGGTGTAGGAATTGCAACAGTTTGCATATGTGCCTCCCACTTGTTAAGGGACCAAAAGTAATGGGACAGAATAATAATCATAAATCAAACTTTCACTTTTTAATACTTGGTTGCAAATCCTTTGCAGTCAATTACAGCCTGAAGTCTGGAACGCATAGACATCACCAGACGCTGGGTCTCATCCCTGGTGATGCTCTGCCAGGCCTCTACTGCCACTGTCTTCAGTTCCTGCTTGTTCTTGGGGCATTTTCCCTTCAGTTTTGTCTTCAGCAAGTGAAATGCTCAATCGGATTCAGGTCAGGTGATGGACTTGGCCATTGCAGAACATTCCACTTCTTTCCCTTAAAAAACTCTTTGGTTGCTTTTGCAGTCTGCTTTGGGTCATTGTCCATCTGCACTGTGAAGCGTCCAATGAGTTGTGAAGCATTTGGCTGAATATGAGCGATAATATTCCCGAAACACTTCACAATTCATCCGGCTGCTTTTGTCAGCAGTCACATCATCAATAAATACAAGAGAAGCAGTTCCATTTGCAGCCATACATGCCCACGCCATGACACTACCACCACCATGCTTCACTGATGAGGTGGTATGTTTAGGATCATGAGCAGTTCCTTTCCTTCTCCATACTCTTCTCTTCCCATCACTCTGGTACAAGTTGATGTCGGTCTCATCTGTCCATAGGATGTTGTTCCAGAACTGTGAAGGCTTTTTTAGATGTCGTTTGGCAAACTCTAATCTGGCCTTCCTGTTTTTGAGGCTCACCAATGGTTTCCATCTTGTGGTGAACCCTCTGTATTCACTCTGGTGAAGTCTTCTCTTGATTGGTGACTTTGACACACATACACCTACCTCCTGGAGAGTGTTCTTGATCTGGCCAACTGTTGTGAAGGGTGTTTTCTTCACCAGGGAAAGAATTCTTCGGTCATCCACCACAGTTGTTTTCCGTGGTCTTCCGGGTCTTTTGGTGTTGCTGAGCTCACCGGTGCGTTCCCTCTTTTTAAGAATGTTCCAAACAGTTGTTTTGGCCACGCCTAATGTTTTTGCTATCTCTCTGATGGGTTTGTTTTGTTTTTTCAGCCTAATGATGGCTTCACTGATAGTGACAGCTCTTTGGATCTCATCTTGAGAGTTGACAGCAACAGATTCCAAATGCAAATAGCACACTTGAAATGAACTCTGGACCTTTTATCTGCTCACTGTAATTGGGATAATGAGGGAATAACACACACCTGGCCATGGAACAGCTGAGAAGCCAATTGTCCCATTACTTTTGATCCCTTAACAAGTGGGAGGCACATATGCAAACTGTTGTAATTCCTACACACCGTTCACCTGATTTGGATGTAAATACCCTCAAATTAAAACTGACAGTCTGCAGTTAAAGCACATCTTGTTCTTTTCATTTCAAATCCATTGTGGTGGTGTATAGAGCCAAAAATGTTAGCATTGTGTCGATGTCCCAATATTTATGGACCTGACTGTATGTACAGCACTGCGTAGATTGATGGCGCTATATAAGTACCCGAAATAAATAATTGTGTAAGGTGGTCCAATATCTTGGGGGATGATACCAGTTTACATGCCTCTAGTATTTCACCCCAGTCCTCATCCTCAATAACACCAGTGTCCTCTTCCCAGTGTGACTTAAGTGAGTATGCTAGTTGAGATGCAGCTGGGGAAAGCAACATTTCATAAAAGATCAGAAATCAGTTTACGAAGTTCATTGCCATAGATCACTTCCAGAGGCTCCATCAGAGACACTGTAGGGAAACTACCAGAAATTTGGGTTTGAAGGGGCATGCCGAAGTTGGAAATATCGAAACAACATGTAGTTTGGTAAGTGAAATTCAGCTTTCGATTGATCAAATGTTTTGAGCGATCCACCTCTAATTACATGAGATAAAAAAAAAAAAAAAAAAAATCCACACCTGCAGATTAGCATCTGTAATAATTCATGAAGTGCTTTGTTATACTATAAGGGAGTGTTACTATGATAAGCCACGGACTGAGTTTTGGACATTAGAAGATCCAAAATATGTCTGTAGTGAAAAGGGAGGCTGTAGCGAGCAGCAGCAACATGGGACCCTCTTAAGTCTGCAATATCACATTTTAAAGTATATGTATAGCTAAAACGTTTTTTTGATAGGGTAGAGTAGAGATAAACCCATGTTAGTTCATTGTTTGTCTGTGTCCCATTAGGCTCGGTTCACATCTGTGTGGGTGGTGTCGCTGTGGATCCGCATGAAAATCCGTGCAGCCGCACCAACCGCACAGAGAACTGCGGACCCTCGGGCGGGTTCCATTAGTTCTAATGGCACACCGCCCGCACTGGAAAACGCAACCGTGCTGGGAACCGAGGATCCCGTGCGGGCTGTGTTTTCCAAAGAAGTGTAGGGACTTCTTTCCCTGCGTGTCACAGGGCATGGGAGTCCATTCAAATGAACTGGCTCTCGTGCCCGCGCAAAACGCGGCCCGCACGGCCGCATAGATGTGAACCGTGGCTTAAAGAGATCTCCCTTTGCATCCTTATCAAGTTCATCAGTAGTCCAGCAACGGCAAACTCCCACATGGCTGCCAACACTGCTTGGGATTTCAGTACAGCAGGGGCAGGGTTGTCAGCCCAAACTAAATGTTAGGAGCTCATCGAATTTCTAGCAGAGCAACAGGTATTTTACTGCATTTGCAGCATTTTTAAAGGCTGAAGTTTTTTTTTTTACCTTCATGCATTTTATGTGTGAATAATGTCTATTCACAGGAGCACAGCTCGGCAGCGATCCTGCTCGAGTGCCCCCATAGCAAGAGGCTTGCTACTGGGGGCACTCAGCAGGGGGGAGGATCCAGGACCTAAAAAGAAGAGGATTTGGGTTGCTCTGTGCAAAACCATTACACAGTACAGGTAAGTATAACGTCAGGTACTTTTTTTTTTTTTTATAAATTACATTTTTGTACCAGGAGTCCAGCTCTAAATTGAAAAAATAAATGTGCTTGTAATGCAGAGATCAACATTTAGGAACATTTTAAAACAAAGGCGTATACATACCTCTATGGTGAAAGTATCTTTGGTTGACTCGTAATTAAGGTTCAGAGTTAACAGATGTCCATGAAAAGAGGCACCATGAGGTAGAATTGTTCGTGGAACAGAGTAGAGATCCTGCACAACAGCAAACAAATGTCATTTTCCTTCATTCATTTCAAAATCTTAAAGTTCCAGGAGGATGGGAGAGAGCCTCTGGAGAAGTCCTGGAGGTGAACTTGGGAAGGGGTGGCGAGGGAGCTAGAGAGCAGGAGGTCTCGGGAGGAGTGGAGAGTGGAGAGGGCAGGAGGTCTCGGGAGGAGTGGAGAGGGCAGGAGGTCTCGGGAGGAGTGGAGAGGGCAGGAGGTCTCGGGAGGAGTGGAGAGGGAAGGAGGTCTCGGGAGGAGTGGAGAGGGCAGGAGGTCTCGGGAGGAGTGGAGAGGGCAGGAGGTCTCGGGAGGAGTGGAGAGGGCAGGAGGTCTCGGGAGGAGTGGAGAGGGCAGGAGGTCTCGGGAGGAGTGGAGAGGGCAGGAGGTCTCGGGAGGAGTGGAGAGGGCAGGAGGTCTCGGGAGGAGTGGAGAGGGCAGGAGGTCTCGGGGGGAGTGGAGAGGGCAGGAGGTCTCGGGGGGAGTGGAGAGGGCAGGAGGTCTCGGGGGGGAGTGGAGAGGGCAGGAGGTCTCGGGGGGAGTGGAGAGGGGCAGGAGGTCTCGGGGGGAGTGGAGAGGGCAGGAGGTCTCGGGGGGAGTGGAGAGGGCAGGAGGTCTCGGGGGGAGTGGAGAGGGCAGGAGGTCTCGGGGGGAGTGGAGAGGGCAGGAGGTCTCGGGGGAGTGGAGAGGGCAGGAGGTCTCGGGGGAGTGTGGAGAGGGCAGGAGGTCTCGGGGGGAGTGGAGAGGGCAGGAGGTCTCGGGGGGAGTGGAGAGGGCAGGAGGTCTCGGGGGGAGTGGAGAGGGCAGGAGGTCTCGGGGGGAGTGGAGAGGGCAGGAGGTCTCGGGGGGAGTGGAGAGGGCAGGAGGTCTCGGGGGAAGTGGAGAGGGCAGGAGGTCTCGGGGGGAGTGGAGAGGGCAGGAGGTCTCGGGGGGAGTGGAGAGGGCAGGAGGTCTCGGGGGGAGTGGAGAGGGCAGGAGGTCTCGGGGGGAGTGGAGAGGGCAGGAGGTCTCGGGGGGAGTGGAGAGGGCAGGAGGTCTCGGGGGGAGTGGAGAGGGCAGGAGGTCTCGGGGGGAGTGGAGAGGGCAGGAGGTCTCGGGGGGAGTGGAGAGGGCAGGAGGTCTCGGGGGGAGTGGAGAGGGCAGGAGGTCTCGGGAGGAGTGGAGTGGAGTGGGCAGGAGGTCTCGGGAGGAGTGGAGTGGGCAGGAGGTCTCGGGAGGAGTGGAGTGGGCAGGAGGTCTCGAGGAGGAGTGAGGGAGGAGAGAGCAGGAGGTCTCGGGAGGAGTGGAGAGAGCAGGAGGTCTCGGGAGGAGTGGAGAGAGCAGGAGGTCTCGGGAGGAGTGGAGAGAGCAGGAGGTCTCGGGAGGAGTGGAGAGAGCAGGAGGTCTCGGGAGGAGTGGAGAGAGAGGAGAGGTCTCGGGAGGAGTGGAGAGAGCAGGAGGTCTCGGGAGGAGTGGAGAGAGCAGGAGGTCTCGGGAGGAGTGGAGAGAGCAGGAGGTCTCGGGAGGAGTGGAGAGAGCAGGAGGTCTCGGGAGGAGTGGAGAGAGCAGGAGGTCTCGGGAGGAGTGGAGAGAGCAGGAGGTCTCGGGAGGAGTGGAGAGAGCAGGAGGTCTCGGGAGGAGTGGAGAGAGCAGGAGGTCTCGGGAGGAGTGGAGAGAGCAGGAGGTCTCGGGAGGAGTGGAGAGAGCAGGAGGTCTCGGGAGGAGTGGAGAGAGCAGGAGGGGAGGAGTGGAGAGGCAGGAGGTCTCGGGAGGAGTGGAGAGAGGGCAGGAGGTCTCGGGAGGAGTGGAGAGAGCAGGAGGTCGCGGGAGGAGTAGAGAGAGCAGGAGGTCGCGGGGAGGAGTGGAGATGAGAGCAGGAGGTCTCGGGAGGAGTGGAGAGAGCAGGAGGTCTCGGGAGGAGTGGAGAGAGCAGGAGGTCTCGGGAGGAGTGGAGAGAGGCAGGAGGTCTCGGGAGGAGTGGAGAGAGCAGGAGGTCTCGGGAGGAGTGGAGAGAGAGCAGGAGGTCTCGGGAGGAGTGGAGAGAGCAGGAGGTCTCGGGAGGAGTGGAGAGGGCAGTTTGGTTGGTATTTTGAGACCAGGTTGGTATTTTGAGACCAGGTTGGTGATATAGCTGGGGGCCACATTGTGGATGGCTTTGTAGGTTGGTCGTAATTTAAATTTCATTAGTTGGGTGAGCGAAGCCAGTGGGGGGGGGGGGGGGGGGAGATTGGCAGAGATGGGTGGAGGAGACTAGACAGTGGTCATGTAGAGGAGTCTGGTGGCAACATTCATGATGGACTGAAGGGGGGGGGGTAGCCTATGTAAAGGTCATCCAATGAGGAGGGAGTTGCAGTAGTCAAGGCGAGAGATACCTGGGAGTGAATTAAAAGCTTTGAGGTGTCATCGGTTATAAGGGGCATATTCTGGAGCTGTTGCAGAGGTTGAGGCGGCAAGATTTGGATGGTGATTGGATGTGGGGCAGAAAGGATTTAATGAAAAGGCGCTAAAGCTGCTGATTTTTAACTGCTGACAAGGGAGGCATACGTATTAAAAGCACAACTAACTTTCATGTTGTTTCAAATTGTTCTACAACTGATCCTCCTCCCATGCTCGTTCCCAGGACTTCTCCAGAGCCTCCCCCATCCCCTGGAACTCTCTACCCCAATCAGACTATCTCCTACTCTGCTCACTTTCAGGCGATCTCTGAAAACCTATCTCTTCAGGGAAGCCTATCCCGCCTTCAGCCAATAACGGAATCTTCTATTCCTCCTACCAGTCCATCCCCCACAGTTATTACCTTTTGTACCACTAGCCCCTCCCTTTTAGATTGTAAGCTCCAAGGATCAGGGCCCTCCTAACCCTCTTGTATTGAACTGTATTGTCTCCCTTTATATTGTAAAGCGCTGAGCAAACTGTTGGCGCCATATAAATCCTGTATAATAATAATAATCCAGCTTCATACAAGTTTGAACTACAAAAAGAAAATAATTACCTCTATAGTGATAACATAACGCTCAGCCAGTAACAGAAGTCTCTCTATAATGACCAGCTTAGTAGACCTGCAAGCAAAAAAATTACAGAAAATGTTCTATTTTTGTGTAAATTTCATCTTTTTTTTGTTCCATAAAAGTTTTATTGAGAATTTACCCCCTTGAGCTCCAGGCCTCCTCTGGCACTTTTTGTTTACATGTAACAATCAGTATTATTTGCTAGAAAATGTCTTAGAACCCTCAAACAATTATTTTTTTAAAGCAGAAACCCTACGGATTAAAATGGTGGGTTTTGCCATTTTTTTTTTTTAATGTCACATGGTATTTGCGCAGCTTGCAGACGCAATTTTTTGGGAAGAAATACTCTTTGGAATCTTAATGCCTGTGCAATGGCGACAAATGTAACTTTTTCTGTCTATAGGCACTTTAAATGCCTTTACAGGTTACCAGAGGAGGTCTAGTGCTAGAATTACTGCCCATGATCTGACGATGTCTGTTTACGTGTGTGCAGAACAGACGCGTGTGTGCAAGCACGGGGGGGACGGGGGCACTTTAACTTTTTTTTATTACCGTATTTTTTGCTCCATAAGACGCACTTTTTTCCCCCCAAAAAAGGGGGAAAAATGTCAGTGCGTCTTACGGAGCGAATATGGAGTGGCCGGTCCGGTATTTCCACCGCGGCCGTGTCAGAATACCGGGCCGGCCGCTCAGCTCTGCAGCGGGACCTTATGGAGATGATTGCTGACCTTTGGGGAGCGGGTACCTGAATTTGACAGGTACCCGCTCTTACTTCTTTGATCTTACCTGTTCCTCTATCCAGCGGCGCGCTGTCTTCCGGCTTGTGTAGTGTGGGCATGACAACCGGGTGCCAAGTGCGCATGCGCAAGAAGCGGTGCTTTTTGTGAATGGTAAGGCGGTACCTGGGACACATGACAGATCCACAGAAGCCGCCGGACCAATCACAAAGCGCAAGTGCTTCTCGCTCATGCGCACTGGGCACCCGGCTGTCATGCCGAGCGCGACATTACAGAAGCCGGGAAGACAGCGCGCCGCTAGATCGAGGAACAGGTAAGATCAAACAAAAACTCTGCGGAAGAGCGGGTACCTGTCAAATTCAGGTACCCGCTCCCCACCTCCCCAAAGGTCAAGTCATCTGTCCGCAGTCTCTGGTCATCTGTACTGTCCGCAGTCTCTGGTCATCCCTGTGCTGTCGGCAGTCTCTGGTCATCTCCTGTACTGTGTCCGCAGTCTCTGGTCATCCGTGCTGTCCACAGTCTCTGGTCATCTCCTGTACTGTGTCTGCAGTCCATTAGTTCAGAATTTTTTTTTCCTGTTTTCTGCCTCTAAAACCTAGGTGCGTCTTATGGTCAGGTGCGTCTTATGGAGCGAAAAATACGGTACTTTTATTGCTGTCCCAAAGAATGTAAACATCCCTTGTGACAGCATTAGGCATGTGACAGGTACTCTTTATGGAGGGATCTGGGGTCTATAAGGCCACAAAATTCCTCTGCTATCAAAAGCATTCAAAACACCAAGATCAGCGTTTTCGGATGCTTTTGATTTTTTTTTAAAAATGGCGCCACTGACATCTGGGTAAACCAGAAGTGATGTCAGGTCATCGCTTCCGGGTTATCATAGTGGAGACCCGATCAAAGCCGATCCCGGTTTTGTTCAGGTGTCTGAATAGCCGGTGGGCGTGCCGGCAGAATGTTCGCGTCTCCCAGTAGGAAGGGAGAGCCTGAGAGGGCAGCAGAAAAAGGCGGGTGGTGTGCAGGCAACGTCCCCTCCTGCTGCTTGCATGAGCAATTGAGTGGCTAGTTAGCCATTCAGATGGCTTTTACAAGAGAGCCAACCACTGGCTTAAGAAAAAAGAAAAAAAAAAAGGTAACAAGGTGATCTTGAGGTCTTGAGAACGCCCGATGGGAGGGGCGAAACGCGTTGACGCATTTCCGGTTTTTACCCCGTACGTCTGACGTCACTTCCGGTGAGTGGAGCGCACGCTGAGCGGTGCGTTCCAGCGGCCATCTTTTGGGATCTGTGCATGTTTGGTCTCTGTGGAGCTTCTGCTGTATCCTGGAGCTGTGATGTGAGATTCCGTGGGAGGTTGCCTTACATTCATTGTCCATCTGGAAGAAGCTTGTCCTAATAAATATGCCTTTTTAAAGTGATTTAAATGTGAGTGGCCTTAATCCTTGATTTTACTTATAAATGGTAAATGTGGAATTCAATAGCTCAAATAAAATAATAGCAAATAATGATAAATATATAATATTTAGGAATTGTGCTAAGTGATAACACAAAAATAATGAAAAAAAAAACACAAACTTAAATCAATACGCATGTGCATAAAAAATGATTAGATCACACGTGCAAAAATGTGAAGTGAAGATACATCTAAATCATACACACAAAAACAAAGTCCAATAATGGAGTAAAGTCCAATAATGGAATATAAAAGGTGAAAAAATGTTTTTGTTTTGGTAAACTGTGTTTCCAATATGCTGTAAAGTGACCACAGGTGAAACAAAACGTGCAGGTATCTGGGTGTAGATAACTTGTGAATCCAACCACCTTCTGGATTAGCCTCTCACCTCATCTCTTCGACCCTTGCGGGTCAAAGAGCAGTATGGATCCCTCTCACAGATCCTCCAGGCACCAAAGCACTCCAAAACCACTTCTCAGGATTATAATATTCCCACTCAGCTCTTCTCCAAATGTAGATGAAATATCACTTTCCCAGAACAAAACAAAGGGATCCTCCCATAGTGTAGTAAGTTTATTATGCCAAAGGAACATCAAATCTTTAATAAAAATGCACTTACGTAGCAGCCAGTCCACATTAAACCCTCATGCTCTCAAATGAGGATATGTGTATGTAAGTTGGGTGTACAGCTGAGTCCACAGGTGTACCAAGATGGCCGCCACGCCGGAAATACGTCACCGCGCTACGCCGACGCGTTACGTCACAATATCACGTGATATTGCCCTGATGAAAGTCACGTGATATTGTGACGTAACGCGTCGGCGTAGCGCGGTGACGTATTTCCGGCGTGGCGGCCATCTTGGTACACCTGTGGACTCAGCTGTACACCCAACTTACATACACATATCCTCATTTGAGAGCATGAGGGTTTAATGTGGACTGGCTGCTACGTAAGTGCATTTTTATTAAAGATTTGATGTTCCTTTGGCATAATAAACTTACTACACTATGGGAGGATCCCTTTGTTTTGTTCTGGGAAAGTGATATTTCATCTACATTTGGAGAAGAGCTGAGTGGGAATATTATATCCTGAGAAGTGGTTTTGGAGTGCTTTGGTGCCTGGAGGATCTGTGAGAGGGATCCATACTGCTCTTTGACCCGCAAGGGTCGAAGAGATGAGGTGAGAGGCTAATCCAGAAGGTGGTTGGATTCACAAGTTATCTACACCCAGATACCTGCACGTTTTGTTTCACCTGTGGTCACTTTACAGCATATTGGAAACACAGTTTACCAAAACAAAAACATTTTTTCACCTTTTATATTCCATTATTGGACTTTACTCCATTATTGGACTTTGTTTTTGTGTGTATGATTTAGATGTATCTTCACTTCACATTTTTGCACGTGTGATCTAATATATGTATGTGCATTTTTTATGCACATGCGTATTGATTTAAGTTTGTGTTTTTTTTTCATTATTTTTGTGTTATCACTTAGCACATTTCTTAAATATTATATATTTATCATTATTTGCTATTATTTTATTTGAGCTATTGAATTCCACATTTACTTTAATTAGTTTGAATGTAGCGCAGCATTTTTATGGTTTATATTCACTTGATCATTGGTATATGATTTAATGTTAGCAGCTGTTTGGGGTTCATTTATTATTTCAATTTGGTTTAACACACATTTTGGAGCGCAGGGGGTCACACCATTATTACTTATAAAATGGTATTTTGCAATATTACACTATCTGAGATTTTTCTCTCCCCGGTTTTTATGGTGGAGCCTACACTGAAGGTGAGGATTCCTATAGATGTGATACGAAAGAGGGTTTAGGATCCCATAAAAATTCCTAAAAGGCGTTTCACTCACCTAAATCTGGTGAGTGCATTTGATGTTGGTTTTCACGGGTGGAAGGTGGAAGTTTTTTCTTTATATTAGAAGAAGAATTTGAAAATTTCTTTTTGCACAAAATATTTTTGAGATTTCTGAACTTTTGTTGTTTATTAATCATGATGGACTTCACTATTAATATAATTTTTCTATATGTTTGCACTTTGTATATTGATTTGATATAGAGGTCTATGTTTGCGCTGTTTATTTATATTTATAACAAGGTGATCACCCCAGTATAACCACTTGAAGTCAAGCGATGGACCCGTACGCCGCCTGGCGGCAAGTGATTAAACAACAAAAGGGGGTTACCAATCTGTAACCCTAAACCAGGGAGAACATGAATACAATGCAATCCAACATCTTAAAACGGAGCTCCACCCAAAAGGGGAAGTTAACCCCTTCACGCCGGCACCTATCCCGGCCCTTAAAGAGTTTCAGAAGTCGGGAGGCGGGATTTAGGGATCATGTGAATGTTCCCAATCGAAAGAGAAGACTGGGACCTTTCCGTGAGTACCAGACATGTGTGCTGGGAGCGTGCAGGGCGCGCTCTCAGCACGTTTTTTTTATCATTGAAAGCAAATGTGCGGCCGCTCGGCGTCTAGACCCAGACGCCGGGAGAACGCACATTTGTGTGCGGACGGCGGTAAAGGGGTTAAGTGCTGCTTTAAGTACTCCTCTCCTGCAACATTTGGGGGGGGGATGAGTGGGTACTTAGTTTTGACAGGTACCCTCTCCCACTTCTATCCCAGTTTGCCGCAGCGAACTGAGCCGGAAGTTTGGCTCCTCCCCCCCCCCCCGCAGTGTTCTGGGAAACTTCACAGGTTCCAGAAGACTGCTAGATTATTCAGGAGGCGCAGCGCGACGTGCGCATGCGCAGTGGCACCCGGCTGTGAAGCTGTCACAGCGGGTGCCCACAGTTGAGATGCCGGCGCCATAAAAAAGAGAAGGGACGGCGCGGGTGATCACATCGCTGCATCCCGGACAGATATGCGCTTTTAAAAAGTTTTCAACAAACACAGAAACGACTGGAGCTCTGGTATACTGGTGTGACGTTTTATCCCCAGTAATAAAAATGTAATCTTTTGAACGCTCGCCGAAGGGTATGGACACATGGAGCAAACAAACATCCACCACTGACTTGCCTGTAAGGTGACTGAACTGATGTGGCCACCGATGGCATGGCGGTCGCGGTCAGCATTTTGTAGCTCTGGTGACGGCGTGCGTCAGGGTGGGACCTCCAAGTGCCGAACTAGCAGCCTGCAGATCAACAGAAGACATGAACATGTCAGTACATGATAGAAGCCTTCCAACGAACGTCAACCCATCTGCACAAATGTTCCCATTACAATTTGCTGCAGTGGTCAGGTAACGAGCTACTGTCAGAGGAAGGTAGCTGAAATCTGCTTTTAACCCCTCCCCCTCCAGAGGATTGACCCCACCCCTTTCCTGACCAGACCATGTTTTGCGTTACGGCGCTGTGTTACTTTAACGGACAATTGCGTCGGTCGTGCAACGCTGCACCCAAATGAAATTTACATCCTTTATCCCCCACAAATAGACCCTCTTTTTCCATGGTATTTGATCACGTGTGCGGTTTTTCTTTTTTTGTGCTAAAAAAAAAAAAAAACAACTCAATTTTTTGAGAAAAAAAAAAAAAAAAAAAAAAATATTTTTGACTTTTTGCCATTAACCACTTCAATACCGGGCACTTTCACCCCCCTTCCTGCCCAGGTCAATTTTCAGCACTGTCGCACTTTGAATGACAATTGTGCGGTCATGCAGAAAACCCATATGAAATTGTTATAATTTTTTTCAAATAGAGCTTTTTTTGGCGGTATTTAACCACCGAGTTTTTTATTTTTGGCTAAATAAAACAAAAAACACCTGAAACTTTTGAAAAAAAAACAAAAAAGCACACTTTTCTTCATTTCCATTATAAAATTTTGCTAATAAATAACATTTCTTCTACTTTTCTTTGGTACCCATATGACATTCTTTCTTTTTTTTTTTTTTGTGGTGGAAGTCAATCACCATTGGGTTTTTATTTTTTTTGCTGAACAAATGAAAAAGACTGAAAATTAAAAAAAAAAAAAAAAAAAAAGTTTTTCAAAATAAAACACCCCCCACCCACCAAAAAAAAAAAAAAAACACACCCTCCCCCCCCCAAAAAAAACCCAGATACACTCTATAAACATGGTCTTTTTCTGCCATCACTTTTCTCTGTTTTTGTCATGAAATTTTGCAAATAACTTTTCTTCTTCAATGATGTGCGCTGATGGGCACTGAGGAGGCTGCACTGATGGGCACTGAGGAGGCTGCACTGATGGGCACTGGGGAGGCTGCACTGGTGGGCACTGGGGAGGCTGCACTGGTGGGCACTGGGGAGGCTGCACTGATGGGCACTGGGGAGGCTGCACTTAGGAGGCTGCACTGGTACTGGTAAGGCTGCACTGATGGGTACTGGTGAGGCTGCACTGAGGAGGCTGCACTGATGGGTACTGGGAGGCTGCACTGATGGGCACTGGGGAGGCTGCACTGATGGGCACTGGGAGGCTGCACTGATGGGCACTGGGGAGGCTGCACTGATGGGCACTGGGGAGGCTGCACTTAGGAGGCTGCACTGATGGGTACTGGTGAGGCTGCACTGAGGAGGCTGCACTGATGGGTACTGGTGAGGCTGCACTGAGGAGGCTGCACTGATAATCAGTGCCCTGATTATCAGTGTATATAAAGCGCTGTCAGAATTGCCAGTGGCTTTCCTTTCCTCAGCGCTTAGACTGCAACCTGTTTACTTGTGATCAGCTGTGATTGGACACAGTTGTTCACATGGTAAAGAGCCGCTGTGATTTGCCCTTTATCACAATCTGTGAGCCGCTGTGATTGGCCCTTTACCGCGATCTGTGATCAGCTGTGTCCAAAAGGACACAGCGGTCACAGAGTGCACCCGATACATGCCCTGGGGGGTGCTCGGGAGGCACATTCTGGGGGCATGTCTATAGACGCCATTCCAGAACAAGAGAACCGCATTGTAGCCGTCTTTCTGCTATAGCATGGTAAGGAGTAAATAAAACATAATCGTGGAATTCTTACCTCTAGTCGCGTGTAACAATCCGCAATAAATTTCTTGTGCAAAGAAACTGAATCCTGCATAGGAAAATAAACTTTTATTAACATTGCTACTATGAAACTGAAATCACATACAGACGGAAAAGATTGCTGTTCCAATTCCAATCCTCCTTCCAGGGAGAGATAGTGAACAAATGGGAACAAATTGATTGGATGTAAGAGGCAGACCAGACAGTTTTCGGACTGGGGCTCAGGGCGGGCACTTACTTTCTTCAGGAAAGAAGAATGTGGCAACCGAATGCGTGTATGCATGTAGACGTGTACTTAGACATGTATATGGTTACGCTATGTTACACCACTCATTTTTATCATTATTATTATTTATTTATTTCTAGGGTCATTACTTCCATCCATGGTGGTATATTCACACACCCTCCCACTTCTAGCTCCCCCCCATCTCCATTCATATTCACACACCCTCCCACTCCTAGCTCCCCCCCATCTCCATTCATATTCACACACCCTCCCACTCCTAGCTCCCCCCCATCTCCATTCATATTCACACACCCTCCCACCCTAGCTCCCCCCCATCTCCATTCATATTCACACACCCTCCCACTCCTAGCTCCCCCCCATCTCCATTCATATACACACACCCTCCCACTCCTAGCTCCCCCCCATCTCCATTCATATACACACACCCTCCCACTCCTAGCTCCCCCCCATCTCCATTCATATCACACACACCCTCCCACTCCTAGCTCCCCCCCCCATCTCCATTCATATACACACACCCTCCCACTCCTAGCTCCCCCCCATCTCCATTCATATTCACACACCCTCCCACTCCTAGCTCCATTCATATACACACCACCCTCCCATCCTAGCTCCCCCCCCATCTCCATTCATATACACACACCCTCCCACTCCTAGCTCCCCCCCATCTCCATTCATATACACACACCCTCCCACTCCTAGCTCCCCCCCATCTCCATTCATATTCACACACCCTCCCACTCCTAGCTCCCCCCCCATCTCCATTCATATACACACACCCTCCCACTCCTAGCTCCCCCCCATCTCCATTCATATACACACACCCTCCCACTCCTAGCTCCCCCCCATCTCCATTTCATATTCACACACCCTCCCACTCCTAGCTCCCCCCCATCTCCATTCATATACACACACCCTCCCACTCCTAGCTCCCCCCCATCTCCATTCATATACACACACCCTCCCACTCCTAGCTCCCCCCCATCTCCATTCATATACACACACCCTCCCACTCCTAGCTCCCCCCCATCTCCATTCATATACACACACCCTCCTACTCCCCCCCCTCCATCATACACACACCCTATCCTAGCTCCCCCCCATCTCCATTCATATACACACCCCCCACTCCTAGCTCCCCCCCCATCTCCATTCATATACACACACCCTCCCACCTCCCCCCCATCTCCATTCATAGCTCCCCCCCATCTCCCCCCCCCCTAGCTCCCCCCCATCTCCATTCATATACACACACACCCTCCCACTCCATTCATATACACACACCCTCCCAGCTCTCCCCCCCTCCATTCATATACACACACACCCCTCCCACTCTCTAGCTATACACACACCCCCCCCCTCCATTCATATACACACACACCCTTCGGTGCTGTCCCCCCCTCCATATGCTTCTTCGGTCTACATGACACTTATCTTGCTGAATCCTGTGTGTGCAGCTCAGGCAGACGAAACACATCTCACTCCAGCCCCTTCGGCGCTCCGAGTGTCCCTGTCTCTCTGGGCACACACCCGCCCCCTCCTTCATTCGCGCTTGCGCAAAGCCACCTACTGGGTCATATACTTCCTCTTCTGGTCCCCGTGGAACGCACGGGGACCGGATATACCCATACAGATGCCACGAGCCGGCCGTCTCCCGCCAGAGCTCCCCGGGCGGCACTTAACATTCCGGTTTTTTACAGCCTCCCATTATTATCAATGGCACACGTGTGTTCACAATTTCACACATGAATCCATTCCCTCCCTCCTTCACTATCTCCTCCCCCTTCCTGATGTCTCCACCCTTTTGGGGTACACTTCCTCAGAGGGAGTCCTCACACGAAACGCGTTAGGGAGGTGCCCCTGACCTTTGTACATATACCGCAAGGCCATCCTAATTGACACCTTGGTGGCCATATCAGATCCGGATGTAAGTTTTTGTTTTTATTCTGTTTATGTTGGAATTTTGTGAATTAAAGACCTATTACGCTATTGGAAGCTTTCTCTGGGCTCATCATTTCCAAGGGAGCCCACTTTTGAAGGTTCCTGATGACCTGGATTGGTGTGTGACCTCTCCCTCCCCCGCTGGTGATTGGCATGGTGGAAGGTTTAAGAGTACACCTAGACTGATGACATCATGGGGTTTATTTACTAAAGCTGGAGAGTCCAAAATCAGACTCCCTTCTGCATAGAAACCAATCAGCTTCCAGGTTTCATTGCCAAAGCTTCATTGAACAAGCTGAGGTTAGAAGCTGATTGATTTCTATGCAGAAGGGAGTCTGATTTTGGACTCTCCAGCTTTAGTAAATAAACCCCCTAGTGTCCTACACGCCGATGACATCTTCCTGGTATTACAAGTCCAGAGCACCAGGAGCGGATCTTAATTGCCCCACGCGCAGTTAATGCGCTATCTGGTTAGTGCAATGTTTGTACGCTCTCAAGAGCACAAGAGTCATGGTTATCCTTGTATTGCGGATTCATGAACACTTGCACATAATCACTTTGCTTTACCACTATGTATGGACTGAGTTGCTGAAATATGATTTTATGCAATTTCTGATCTTTTTGATTCTTTACCTAATTTTATATTATTTATATTAGCACTGCATACTTATTTTATATTTCTTATACTGGGTTTTAGAGGTTGCCTTTTATGCTAATCCTAATTAAAAGGTATGCGCTAATAACAAACTTATACAAAGGTGTATATCATCATCCAAAAAACATTTGTGTTTTAAATAAATATAGTGTCCAAACATAAATTAGTGTCCAAAAAATGTATATATATATATCTTCAGTGACTTGAACCAATTGTGAAAAATCCACCACCAAAGGAGATTAAATGAACTCACCAGAGCTAATGGCTGGTCAGATTATAAACCAGCAACAGCGCTTGTGCTCTGGGAGCAATGAACCCCTTGATGACGTCGGTGTGACGAAACCGGTTGGGCGTAGCCTACTCGATGTGGACGTTAGAGAGCCTTGCTGTTCTGTGCTGTATGGGAGAGATCCGCAGTGAGCGTTAACTGTATCTCAACCCCTTTTTTTGCAATTGAAGCTGGTGTCTGCTGGACACCTTGTTTGTGAGTTTCCTTATACCTTTTTTTTATTAAAGAGATAAATGAAAAAACGTATTGCACCATTATGTTCTCTTTTTTGTCCCTGAGTGTACTGCATGCTCTCATGGAGGTATGAGAAAGAGTGGAGAAGTTCATCATAAGAGCTTGGGCTGCAGAGTTGTTTGTCTGTGATTATTATCTGGAAGTATCTGAAACATCACCATATCTATTTGGACATCGGGGTCATTGCTCCCAGAGCACAAGCGCTGTTGCTGGTTTATAATCTGACCAGCCATTAGCTCTGGTGAGTTCATTTAATCTCCTTTGGTGGTGGATTTTTCACAATTGCTTCAAGTCACTGAAGATATATATATATATTTTTTGGACACTAATTTATGTTTGGACACTATAATTATTTATTTAAAACACGAATGTTTTTTGGATGATGATATACACCTTTGTATAAGTTTGTTATTAGCGCATACCTTTTAATTAGGATTATTGTTGCCAAAATTTATTTTGGGTGGGATATGCTGCTGACATTTTGGTGTTTTTTGTAAGTGGCGCTTTTTTCTTTTTTAATTTGGTATTGGTTGTGCCTTTTATGTTAGCAGCTTTATATTATTGTTCCCAGCGCTCAATTACCGCTTTTATATACTTTTATCTGAAGAAGAGGTGTTTTCCTCGAAACGCGTCAGCCACCAGCTATCCAGAGGCTTCCAGTCCCCCACCAGACCACCCACAGGGGTTCCTTTACCACCCTGCATCCCTAGTGCTTTCCATGCATAGCTGATTTGACGTCATTTAATTTTGTGAGTGTTTTACTTTTCACCAATAAATCCTATTTTGAAGGTAATGCACTAGGCCTGTGCGCCCTCTATTTTGTCTTTGACTTACTTTCTTCAGCCTAGGGTTCAGGTTGATGTAGCTATAGTTGATTATCAGCTGGATCGCTTCGTTGGCAATTTCTTCATCCGGAGATTCAACTGCAACTTTCCATATGAAGTCCATTCCGAGAAGAGAAAACGAGCCGCTGACTTAAAATGTTTGTGAAGTCACCCAATCCAAGCATGCTATAAATATGTCAAAAGAACTGTTGTCTGGGAAAAAATTCTTCAAGTATAAAAAAAGGCATATTGGAACCAGGGGCGGACTGACAGCTCATGGGCCCCCGGGCAATAGGGGATCATGGGGCCCCTATGTCCTTGCCCAAACTCAAAAAAAGCCTATGAAAAAGGTACCAGGGACATCTCATGGGCACCCCCAACTGAACCCGAGCCCTCGGGCAGTGCCCGAGTTTCCCAAATGGTCAGTCCGCCCCTGATTGGAACCATCATTTAGACAGTGATGTGCCTGCAGGGGCTCCTGCTAGAAGCTGCTGTCAATCGCACAATGTAGGGTTGCGTAGGTGGAGTGTCAGCCAGGCTGATAGTAGGAGCTAAGGGAGGGAAACGAACCGTGCCAGCGTCAGAAAGCTCCAGGAACAGAAAGGAACTGACAGAACCACCAAGTATTTCACAGCCAATCATAGGACTTGCATAAATAAAAGGAGAATACACATACAGAGGAATACATTTATAAAACCTCAATACCTCACTTATACCCCCTTCCTGCCAGGCCGATTTTCAGCTTTCAGCGCTGTCGCACATCGAATGACAATTGCGCAGTCATGCAACACTGTACCCACATTAAATTGTTATCATATTTTCACACAAATAGTGCTTTCTTTTGGTAGTATTTACCACCACTGAGGTTTTTAATTTTTTGCTAAAACAGAAAGCACCTGAAACTTTTGAAAAAAAAAAAAAAAAATCCGCATTTTTATTAGTTTCTGTTATAAAATTTTGCAAATAAATAACATTTCTTCTTATAGGTAAAAGACACACAGTGAGCGCTCTCAAAGAAACAGCAGCTGAGCATCCAGGATAAACGCATATATAAAAATCCTCAGTAAAACATATACATATAAAAATGCAGCGCTGCATTTTTATATGTAAACATTTCTTCTTAAACTTAGGTCAAAATGTATTCTGCTACATTTCTTTGGTGAAAATAATAACTGAATTTGTATTTTTTTTTCAAATGTTTTCTATTTTTTTTTTCATTAAATTTTTTCTTTTTTTTTATTTTTTTTTTTCAGCACACTGTGACCAAAGCATTACGATGTTACCATAGTAACATTGAAGTACTCTGGGCAAGTGATCAGGTTTTTATTTTTTCTTTTAACACATTATGATTGCTAATATCAATGTATTTCATTGATATTTGCAGTCATTGTTACTGAATGAAAACTGATTCATTCAGTCTTTTGTTGTGATTAGGCAACGCTGATCACATGATACAGATGGGCTGTGATTGGCCCTGTCTGTATCATGTGACTGCCTTGACCAGTCACAGCTAACAACATAATTGTATACAATGGATGGCATGGCAGGAAGCCATCCATTGTATACAATTGATCTGCTGTGATTGATCACTGCGGTCACATGACACTGGCAACGGGTGGTGTAGTGGTGATATGTCATCGGCTGTATCCCGTGGACACAGCCGGTGACAGATCGTGCTGTTGCACGGCCCCCGTGAGCGACTTGTTTTGACAGGACGTCATATGATGCCCAGACACAACGGTGCGTGTTCCGCCGGGGCCTATAGCAGATTGAAGGCCAGGCAGGACACTCGCTGTTGTGACTGGGTGTCATATGACGTCCTGTCAAAATGAGTCACTCACGGGGCCGTGCAACACGCGATCTGTCACCGGCTGTGTCCACGGGACATGTCACTACACCGGCCCGTTGCCAGTGTCATGTGACCACAGTGACCAATCACAGCAGATCACATGTCAATTGTATACAATGGATGATGGCTTCCCGCCATGCCATCCATTGTATACAATTATGTTGTTAGCTGTGACTGGTCAAGGTAGTCACATGAAGGTGTTAAAGCGTAGTTAAGTCCTGAAAAAAAAAAAAAAAAATTCAGTTCCCCCTGCAAGTTAAATGGCATTATTGAACAAAAAAATGACATTGCATATTAGAACACTATGAAAAACATACCTGTAATATGGATCTCTCCAGTGGACCACTGTCACCACTGCCAAGGCCTCCATCTTTACCTGGTCTTCCTTGAGGGCTCCGGCCGTTTGAATGACTGAGCCACGGTAGCGTCACTTCCGCACATGCACACGAGAATCATGGTCACGGAATAGCGCTCTGGGTTCATGGCACATTCAGAGGACCCTCAAATCCAGAGCGCAGTGTGCATGCCCGGTGATGTCACCAGTGCCAAAACAAGTGATTATCTCCTAAACGGTGCACGTTTAGGAGATACCGTGTTTCCCCGAAAATAAGACAGTGTCTTATATTCATTTTTGCTCCCAAAGATGCGCTAGGTCTTATTTTCAGGGGATGTCTTATTTTTTCCATGAAAGAATACGGTACACGTTTATTGTTAAATGAAAATAAAGGAAATTTATTACCTGTATACGGTACGGTGGGGGGAGGGGGATCACTTAAAATGACACAGGGGGGAATCAAAATGGCACAGGAGAATCAGAGGGGGGATTACCATTTTAGTAACGCCTTTTGATCCTCCTGTGTCATTTTGATTGTCCCCTCTGATCCTCCTGTGTCATTTTGATTGTCCCCTCAGATCCTCCTGTGTCATTTTAAGTGATCCCCCTTCCCCCACCCCTGTGCCACTGAACACCTTCACTGACATCCCCCCACCCCTTTATCAGACATTTCCCCCCTGGGGCCTGCCTGCGGACTGTCACTGGGCTGGCTGGGGCCTGCCTGGGGACTGTCATTGGGCTGGCTGGGGCCTGGACCTGGCTGGAGCAGGGGTCTACCACTGACCGAGAACCTTCAGTCATCATGAGGGCGGCCGCGAGCATCAGGCGTGTCACCCAGAGACAGACCAGCACTCACCACCTTCGCCGTGTCCCGTCCGCTCTGATCCTCCTGTTCTTCTACACGCATCTGCCAAAGTCTCCTCCTCTCTCCTGCCCCGCACTCACTCCGACCTCCGCTCCGCCTCCACACAGCAGCGACGCCAGGACTCCGCGTAACGTCACTGGTTGCTAGACGCCAGTCGGGGCGGCCCTAGCAACCAGTTTACGGTAAATTAATTTTCATTCCGAGACAGAGCCTAGGGGGGGCCTTATTTTTGGGGGGGATGCCTTATATTTCACCCAGAAGGAAACCTGTAAGTAGGTCTTATTTTCGGAGGATGTTTTTATTTTCGGGGAAACACGGTATTTATTTGACCTACAGGTAAGCTTTATTATAAACGTACCTGTAAGTAAAAGTGTCATGGCGGAGTGTGCTATCGCTTTTAGCACGTCGCCTTTCTGACCGTGTTTCATGGCTATGATTAGGTTGTAACGTAAAACATGGCCGCTTTTCCCATACTACCCCCCTCCTAACTGACCCGACAGGGGTGCTTCTCCTGGGGCATCCTGTTTTTTTAATTTTGCAAGGCTGTGCATGGCTCCAGTCATGGGAATCTGAATGGGAAGACCACAAATCAGAAGGAGCCCCCAGTGACGGTGACATCACTGCACTTTCCTCCAGCTTCATAGCAGAAGGTCTGTACCACTGTATGGACCTGGGGCTGGGAGTAAACAATTGAGGACCTGCCACTGATCACAGCTGGAATAATCTGCGGGCTTGAATGCAAAAAATCTTAAAAATACACTTTATTTAAATAAATTGTGGGTGCGATGATTAAAGTTTTGCATGACTTTACGGTACACTGTATTTCTGCTTTTCATCCTTAATCCCGAAAGAAGGAGCTGTATGAAACAAGCCATTGGCCCATGTAACCAATAAACAGGAAATTTGTGGTAATTCAAACAACACTCACCAGCTGGGTGCCTTGCCTCTTCAACCGATGATCACAAAGATTTACATTTTCAAAAAAGGTTTTAAAGAGGCTGAAACCTGAAAGCAACATAAAAAAAACATCATCACCCAAATCATTGCTTAGATAATCCCTGTCCCATCCTCAACAGTTCAAAGCCAGTTAAACCCTTTGTGCCGGCGCCTCCCGGCGCTTTAAGAGTTTCAGAGCCGGGAGGCGGGGGCGGGGTTTTGTGGTCATGTGACCGTCGTGATTCGCTGTCACATGATTCGGAAAAGGTCCCGATCGCAAGGGGAGAATTCAAACGCTTGTGCTTGGAAGTAATGGTAAAATTGCGCACTCACCAGATGCACATTGAAATATACGCATATAAATATATCCACCACGGACCACTTAGGGAAGCGGGGTCTGGTGAACTTCCTTCTAGGTATGGAACAGCACAGCAGTATATCCTACAGTATATTAGTACTGATTGTGGAACATCATCTATGGTCCTGTCCACACATTACTCATCTCTTCTCTAGAGCCTGCAGATGATCCTTACCTATCCAACACCCAGAGGAGGGAATCCCTGTAAACAGGCTGCAGACCCATCCATCCTAAAGGGACCTCTAATTGAGCAGATCGCCCTTAATCCCAGGATATACTGCTGGGCTGTTCCATACCTAGAAGGACGTTCACCAGACACCTGACATACCCTGCTTCCCTAAGTGGTCCGTGGTGGATATATTTATATGCGTATATTCAATGCGCATCTGGTGAGTGCGCAATTTTACCATTACTTCCAAGCACAAGCTTTTGAATTCTGCTACAGTTATGATCATTTACCATTTCATAGGATTTATGAACTTTTATTGTCATTTTTATTAGCGCTGCACTTCATTTATTTATGCTGTGTACATACAGGGGGGTAGACAAAAAGAATGGAAACACTACATGATTTGAAGGTGTGAAAGTGAGGACATGTTTGGTGGTGAAAGCGGAAAAGATTTAACATTCATTGGCTTCCGCTGAGTGATGAGACACCTAGCTAACAGCTGGGAAGCCTCACTTTCCTCATTCACTGTGCGCTGCTAGTAATACAGAGTCATGTCAGAGCCTATGGAGCTTCAAAGAGGGCACATTGTTGGTGCCTCTGTGACTGACATTGGCAATGGATCTGCTACATCACGAGGGACAGTATCGAAGATTATGACGGAGTATACAGTTTCTGGGAAAGCGTGGTCTAATAAGCATAAGTGCGGTCGACATGGTCACCTGACCGAAAGAGACAAAAGGACGTTGCGCAGGATTGTGACCCGAAATAAGAAAACTGCTGCGAAAAATGACTGCAGAGCTCAATCTCAGTTTTCACGGGACTGAGATTGAGCTCTGCAGTCACTTTTGCAGCAGCTGTTTTCTTACTCCTGCTCACAATTATGCGCAATGTTCTTTGTCTCTTTCAGTCAGTTGACCTGTCGACCGCGCTCCTGGAAAGTGTATATACTCCCTCCTTACTGGCCTGCCTCGCCACTGGCTATCCCCGCTTCAGTCCATCCTGAATACGGCTGCCAGACTCATTCACCTTTCCAACCGCTCCGTTTCCACCACCCCCCTCTGCCAATCCCTCCACTGGCTCCACTCAGTGTCCTCCACCCCCCTTTGCCAATCCCTCCACTGGCTTCCGATTGCACAACGGATCAAATTCAAAATCCTAACACTGACGTACAAAGCTGTCCACCATACTGCCCCGAACTACATCACTGACCTAATATCCAAGTACCGCCCAACACGCACACTCCGCTCCTCACAAGACCTCCTTCTCTCTAGTTCCCTGGTCTCCTCCTCCCATGCCCGCCTCCAGGACTTCTCCAGGGTGTCACCCATCCTCTGGAACTCCCTGCCCCAATCCATCAGATTATCACCTACTCTCCTCTCCTTCAGGCGCACCCTGAAAACCCATCTCTTCAGGGAAGCCTACCCCACCCCCTGCTAACTTGCCGACCTCCTCCACTCTTCCTACCACTCCATCCCCCACAGCTATCTCCTCCTGTACCACCATCCCCTCCCTCCTAGATTGTAGGCTCCAAGGAGCAGGGCCCTCGATCCCCTCATGTTTTGCATTGTATTGGTATTGTTCTGTCACATGTTCTGTCCCCCTTTGTAATGTACAGCGCTGAGCAAACTATCGGCGCTTTATAAATACTGTATAATAATAATAATATATGCCGTCATAACCTTTGATACTATACCTTGTGACACGGCAACTTCAGTCACAAAGGTACCATTTAAGCGGCACCAACAATTTGCCCTCTTTGAACCTCAGTAAGTGCTGACCTGACTCCATATTACTAGCAGCACATGCAGTAAATGACGAAAGTGAGGCTTCCCACCTGTTAGCTAGGTGTCTCATCACACAGCGGAAGCAAAAATGTTACATCACTTCCGCTTCCAACGCAAAACATGTTGTCACTTTCACACCTGCAAATCATATAGCGTTCCCATATTTTTTGTCTAACCCCTGTATATCCTACGTTACACTTCTATTCCATGTGTGCAGCGATTACAGTGCTTCTCTCTCATACCATTCATGGTGATTTCATAGGACTCCAGCTTGAGGATTTTCTCCTTGAACAGTTGCTGTTGGACATCACTCTCCAAGTCATGCTGCCCCTTCGTGAACCACTCGAAACACATCTGCCAAGAAAGGAAACCATTCTGTCTCTCAGGTCTGTTTGTGAGGAATGTGTTGGTCAGTTTACCTGAGTGAGATAGTGCTTAAAGCGGAGTTCCACCCAAAAGGGGAAGTTCTGCTTTGTTCCCCGCTCCCCATTAAGGATTGGCACCTTTGGGGAACAGGGGGGGGGGGGGGGGAGCGGGTACCTGAATTTGACAGGTACCCGCTCCCACTTCCGCTGCGATCGTCTAGGTCAGGGGTAGGCAACCTGTGGCTCTCTAGCTGTTGTGGAACTACATTTCCCATGAGGCATTGCAAAGATTACAATACTGTCAGTTACAGCTATGACTTGCAGAGGCACGATGGAACTTGTAGTCCTGCGGCTCTCAGGTTGCCTACCCCTGGTCTAGGCGATCGGAAATGGAAGTTGTCCTCCCACCCTCCCTCCCCGTAGTCTTCTGGAACACACGACAGGTCGCAGAAGACTACGGGGCCATTCAAAAAGTGCAGAGCTTCTCGCGCATGCGCAGTGGGCATCCGGCTGTGAAGCCGCAAGCTGTCACAGCCGGGTGCCCACACTGAAGATGCCGGGGGAGAGAAGACGGCTGGCGAAACCAACCGTGGTGAGGACACCACGGGACCGAGGGACAGGTAAGTGGCTGTATTTTAAAAGTCAGCAGCTACAGTTTTTGTAGCTCCTGACGTTTTTTGCTGAAATTCCGCTTTAAGCAGAAACTTCACATTTTACAGTAAAGTAGCTTAAAGAAGAAGTCTCCCTCTAAAATCCGAATGATGGAATCCCTGCAGAGAAGTGCACAGAGCCCTCTTTTTCTGCACGTCCACGTTGTGCACTGAAGGAGAAGTTGGCCTTTGAGGATGTAAGAGCTCGCTCACACTTGGCTTGTTTCTAACTCTTGCCAAATGCCCCTATAGAGTTTGACAGGCATTTGGGAAGCATTTTTAACCTCCTCAAATGCCCTATGCGCGGTTTTGAGGCGTTTGATAGGCATTTGCAAAGCGTTAAAACTGAACTACAAACGCCTATAATGAAGTTAAATGGTCTTTCCCGCACCGCAAACGCATCTCGCCACCGTGTCGCAAACGCCTGCCAGGCGTTTGAGGAGCGACACCATAGACTTGAATAGGAGGCTTGAACTCCTCCTGACTCGACATGAGGCCTCAGTTTTGCTGCGACGCACTAACATTTCAGTGTGAACAGCACGTCATGTGCAGAATTTTCATAGGTGTTTGAGAAGCATTAAAAACGCTTCCCAAACGCCTGTCTGACGCCTGCTGACAGAGCTAGTATGAACGTAGCCTTACATGTTCCACCTTTTTTTGGGTGGAACATATAACATGTTCCCACTGCCCACTCTGCTGCATTTAGTGACAGCTAGCAGGGGATTTCCTCCCCACACTTATCACTGTTTAACTTCTTCATGTCGGCCGCACACAAATGAGCAGCCTCCCGGCGTCTGGGCCTAGACACGAGCGGCCGCACATTTGCATTCAATTATAAAAAAACATATGTGCTGACAGCGCGTGCCCTGGCTCTCCCAAACATTGCACGCACTCAGCACATCATGGAAAGGTCCCGGTCTTCTCTTTTGATGGGACCTTTTCCTCGATCATGTGACCACCGTGACGCCGCGTCACAGCGGTCACATGATCCCTAAACCCGGCACCCATCCCCCTCCCCCTGAAACTCTTAAAGGGCTGGGAGGCGCCAGCGGGAAGGATTAAAAAAACAAAACAAAAGAAATACCAAAACCCTCAGCCGTATGGGACACCCGCCTACCCACCTGCATTCATTCATTCCAAAATTCTGTGAATGTAAAACTACAAGTACGGGAACTATTGCCTGGAACTATTCTTTAAAAAGAGAGAGAGAAAAAACAAAGGAGGGACGAAGGCGTAAGTAAGATGTGCGATGCTAAGATTGATTACCTTTCAGAGTGCTTTGTTTTCTTTGAATTATTGCAAAGCGCTCTCTTATTGGGGGAGGTGGAGAGGAGTGGCAGTGATGTCACACTCTCCCCTCATCTAATCAGAGACCGCTTTATATTTAGAGAATGCAAACATTCCCCATGCTGAGCGGCCAACCTCCTACATTCACATTATATTAAGCTGGCTGCTGAGCACGGGACCCAGAAGCGCACAGATGACAGAAGTAGCAGGGTAGTAGCACCATCTACCTCAGTGATTTCCAGCTTCCAGGGACATTGGCCAAGTATGGTATATACAACTGTGTATAATATGCTAATGCCTGGAATTATTATTTAACCCCTTCCAGTCCGGACACTCTCCCCCCTTCCAGTCCGGACACTCCCCCCCTTCCAGTCCGGGCACTTTCACCCCCTTCCAGTCCGGGCACTTTCCCCCCCTTCCAGTGCGGACACCCCCCCCCCCCTTCCAGTCCGGACACTTTCCCCCCCTTCCAGTGCGGACACCCCCCCCCCCCTTCCAGTCCGGACACTTTCCCCCCCTTCCAGTCCGGACACTTTCCCCCCCTTCCAGTCCAGACACTTTCCCCCCCTTCCAGTCGGACACTTTCACCCCCTTCCAGTCCGGACACTTTCCCCCCCCCCTTCCAGTCCGGACACTTTCCCCCCCTTCCAGTCCGGACACTTTCCCCCCCTTCCAGTCCGGACACTTTCCCCCCCTTCCAGTCCGGACACTTTCCCCCCCTTCCAGTCCGGACACTTTCCCCCCCTTCCAGTCCGGACACTTTCCCCCCCTTCCAGTCCGGACACTCTTTTCCCCCCCTTCCAGTCCGGACACTTTCCCCCCCTTCCAGTCCGGACACTTTCCCCCCCTTCCAGTCCGGACACTTTCCCCCCCTTCCAGTCCGGACACTTTCACCCCCCCTTCCAGTCCGGACACTTTCCCCCCCTTCCAGTCCGGACACTTTCCCCCCCTTCCAGTCCGGACACTTTCACCCCCTTCCAGTCCGGACACTTTCCCCCCTTCCAGTCCGGACACTTTCCCCCCCTTCCAGTCCGGACACTTTCACCCCCTTCCAGTCCGGACACTTTCCCCCCTTCCCCCCTTTCACCCCTTCCAGTCCGGACACTTTCCCCCCCTTCCAGTCCGGACACTTTCACCCCTTCCAGTCCGGACACTTTCCCCCCCTTCCAGTCCGGACACTTTCCCCCCCCCCTTCCAGTCCGGACACTTTCCCCCCCTTCCAGTCCGGACACTTTCCCCCCCCTTCCAGTCCGGACACTTTCCCCCCCCTTCCAGTCCGGACACTTTCCCCCCCCCTTCCAGTCCGGACACTTTCCCCCCTTCCAGTCCGGACACTTTCACCCCCTTCCAGTCCGGACACTTTCACCCCCTTCCAGTCCGGACACTTCCCCCCCCCTTCCAGTCCAGGGCCAATTTTCAGCTTTCAGCGCTATCACACTTTGAATGAAAATTGCGCCCCTTCAGTCCAACACTGTACCCATATGAACTTTCTTTAGCATTTTTTTGGAGACAGATAAAACTTTGAATTATTTTGGTGGTATTTATTCACCACTGGGATTTTATTTTTTTGCTATATAAATGAAAAAGTCCAAAAAATTTTGAAAAAAAGTGTTTCTTATAAAATTTTGCAAATAATCTTTCTTCATAAATCTTGGCCAAAATGTATTCAATTATCTTTTAGTAAAAAAAATAATAACCAAATTAGTTTAGAAAACCAAAAATTATAAATTTTTTCTAAATTTTTTTTTACATTTTTATATATATATATAAATATATATATATATATATATTTATTTTTTTATTTTTTTTTTTACATACTGTCACCCTAGCAGTACAGTGTCACGATAGTGACACTGTACTACTTGTGAGGGGTGAAGAAATTTTTTTTTTTACACGGATTTCTTTTACACCCATAAAGGCTGTAAAAGCAATCATTTCTCCTTCTCTCTGGGTGCATTCCTGCAGCCATTGAGAAATACTGAGAGAGCTGTGATTGGTCACAGGTTGTCAGATGGTACAAGTCTGTTGTGAATAGCCTTGTACCATGTGATCTCTGTGATCATTCACAGATTTCACTAGTAGTAAGCAATGATGTCAGAAGTGACATCTTACTTACTACTCTATGTGATCACCGATTGGCCAATCAGTGATCACATGATATGGGACCCTCGCACAGAGGTCCTGTACAACGATCGGGGCACCGGATCATGGTGCTGCGTGCTCCCAGGGAGAGCGTAATAAGCAGGGAGGTTGTCGTTTATAAACGGCCACCCCACCCCTGTACCGCTCCTGTCCGCCCATTTACATGGCAGGGCGAGAAAAAAGTATAAGTAAGCACCCTGTGATACTAAGCTTGATTACCTTTTCTTTGTGACAATGTTACATTTTTGAGAATGAAACAATCAATCCACAAGAGCAACTCCGAAGGCAAATTGTAACAAGAATGTCATTCAGAATATCTTAGCAAACCTTAAGTGTAAAAGCGGCCGCTATTTTACCGCCCTCTCAGGGCCTTACTTCTCGATCGAGCTCACACACACGTCGTGGCCTGTGACGAGGCACTCCCAGATCTCTTTGGCACGGCTCCAGCCGAGGTACAGGGGTGGCTTCTTGCAGGAAAAATGCCAGGAATTTCAGGTGTGCTTCCAAATACTGAAATAGAAGAATGTTAAAAGTTATTTTTCACTGATGGCTCAAGAAGATGCTGCACATTGAAAGAAAACATATGGAGTTATCCATTTCCAGTCAATACTTAATGGGTGTGTACAGTCATGGCCGAAATTGTTGGCACCCTTGATATTTCTCCAGGAAATCATGTATTTCTCACGAAACGTATTGCATTAACACATGTTTTGCTATACACATGTTTATTCCCTTTGTGTGTATTGGGACAAAACAAAAAAAGGGAGGAAAGAAAGCAAATTCGACATAAATGTCACACAACCTCCAAAAATGGCCTGGACAAAATATTGCAGCCCTTTCACAACTGCGGATAAATAAGAATGGTCTTACAAGCATGTGATGCTCCTGTAAACTCACCTCGGGGCAAGTAACAGGTGTGGGCAATATAGAAATCACACCTGAAAGCAGATAAAAATGGAGAGACGTTTCACTAACCTTTGCATTGTGTGTCTGTCTGTGCCACACTAAGCATGGACAACAGAAAGAGGAGACGAGAACTGTCTGAGGACCTGAGAACCAAAATTGTGGCAAAATATCAACAATCTCAAGGTTACAAGTCCATCTCCAGAGAACTAGATTTGCCTTTGGTCCACAGTGCGCAACATTATCAAGAAGTTTGCAACCCATGGCACTGTAGCTAATCTCCCTGGACGTGGACGATTGAGGAAAATTGATGAAAGATTGCAACGCAGAATAGTCCGGTAATGGTGGATAAGCAGCCCCAAACATGTTTCCAAAGACATTCAAGCTGTCCTGACAGGCTCAGGGAGCATCAGTGTCAGCGCAAACTATCCGTCGACAATTAAATGAAATGAAACGCTATGGCAGGAGACCCAGGAGGACCCCACTGCTGACACAGAGACATAAAAAAGCAAGACTACAGTTTTGCCAAAATGTACTTGAGTAAGCCAAAAGCCTTCTGGGAAAACGTCTTGTGGACAGATGAGACCAAGATAGAGCTTTTCGGTAAAGCACATCATTCTACTGTTTACCGAAAACGGAATGAGGCCTACAAGAACAAAACACAGTACCTACGGTAAAATATGGTGGAGGTTCAATGAGTGTTTTGGGGTTGTTTTGCTGCCTCTGGCACTGGGTGCCTTGACTGTGTGCAAGGCATCATGAAAATCAGAGGATTACCAAAGGATTTGGGTCGCACTGTAGGGCCCAGAGTCAGAAAGCTAGGGATTGCGTCCAAGATCCTGGGTCTTCCAGCAGGACAAGTGACCCCAAACCTACGTCAAAAAGCACTCAGAAAATGGATGGCAAAGAAGCGCTGGGAGAGTTCTGAAGTGGCCAAGCAATGAGCCCAGATCTAAATCCCATTGAACACCTGTGGAGAGATCTTAAAATTTGCTGTTTGGGAAAAGGTGTCCTTCCAATAAGAGAGACCTGGAGCTGTTTGCAAAGGAAGAGTGGTCCAAAATTCCGGGTGAGAGGTGTCAGTAAGCTTATTGATGTTTATAGGAAGCGACTGATTTCAGTTATGTTTTTCCCAAAGGGAGTGCAACCAAATATTAAGTTAAGGGTTGCCAATACTTTTGTCCAGCCCATTTTTGGGGTTTTGTGTGACATTAAATGTCATTATTTGCTTTTCTGCCTCTGTTTTATATTTGTTCCAATACATACAAAGGGAATAAACATGTGTATATGCAAAAACATGTGTTAATGCAATACCTTTTTTGTGTGAAATACTTGATTTTCAGGAAAAATAATCAAGGGGCCAACAATTTCGGCGGGCCATGACTGATATCCGACCTGCCGACTGTGGACTGTCAGAAAAAAGGATCCAGTGGCTGTGCAGCCCCCCGATCGCTTCCATACACGTCCGTAACTGTCGAGTCCACAGTATTTAATAAATCGCTTCTTACCCGCCACACAAGCTGATATAATGCTAACGCGCGCTCGGGTGTGCAAAATCAAGTATATATACGTGATTTTGCATTTCGGGGAGGGGGCCACGGCCCTTAGCCACGCCACCATTTTTGTGGCCGCAGATGTTAAACACCAGGTCCCAGCCAGTGATTACAGACAATCACCGACGGGGAGGAGGACTGTTTTTGTTTACAGTCTTCCTCCCTGTCAGCTCAGGCACACTGGAGCTCGCATGATGGCTGTGCGCAGTACAGCCATCCAGAGCAGTGTTATTACAGTGAAGCACACGCCCCCCCACCCCATAGTAAAAAACACTCCCTACACACAGTTAACCCTTTGATCGCCCCTCACATTAACCCCTTCCTGCCCAGTGTCATTAGTACAGTGTCAGTACTGTATTTTTAGCACTGATCACTGTATTGGTGCCACGGAGGATGTCAGTACACCAAGTTAATTCCCGCCCCCCCCCAGTGTCAGAAATGCCCACCGCAGTACCGCTAAAAGTCGCATGATCGTTGCCTTTTACTAGTAGCCAGGGGGCGGACTGACAACTCATGGGGCCCCCGGGCAATATAGTGGATCATGGGGCCCCTGTGTCCTTGCCCAAACTCAAAAATCCTATGAAAAAGGTACCAGGGGCATCTCATGGGGCCCCCTACTGACCCCCGGGCCCTCGGGCAGTGCCTGAGTTTCCAAATGGTCAGTTTGCCCCTGCTAGTAGCATGCTTTCATTTTTTAGTGCAGTTGTGCCATCAGCCATTGTGGCAGAAGGACTAGCAGAGCATGCCAGGGATCCCTCCTCCCTCTCTTCACTCTACTTCAAGTCATATTTCGGTCCAAAAGGTCTGTTCATCCACAGAGACCTGAGGCTGGATGAATGCTGCGCAAGAACCCACAACACACTAATCATGGGTGCAATGCTCTGCAGGCTTCACTGAATCAATGTTGAATTTCCCTTTTTTTCTCAGAATATGGATTTAGCTTTTTAACGCATCAAATGCATTTTCCTATCAGCTTCAAGGCCTTCTGCCACCAGCTCTTACGTTCACTATGACCAACAGCAATTCACAGGAGAACGTGACAGGCTCTGGTGGGTGGGGTGGACCGCAATGCGTTTCCGAGGTCTTTTTTCACGCCTGTCACGTTCTCCATTCTGCCTTCCTGTTAGTGCCGCGAGTTAGAGACGCCGCCGATTTACGATCTTGTCGCGGGTCCCTTCTTGTGCCCTGCAGCCCTATCAGTCCAGATTGCAGAGAGCTGTATATCGCACCACCGCCCTGACACCTGGAGCCGGCTACAGATCTTTCAGATGTGAGAAATGGCATTGTTGTTTTTAACCATACAAGAATCTGGCGCCTTGCTTCGCTTCCTCTGAATGTTCCCACTACAGACTGCTGAGCTCAGAGGACTGCCCGCCATATACCAAAGGGTCGCAGGAGGAGTACCAGGGCCATAAGGTGTCACAAAGAAACATCACCGGACAAAACAGATGAATGAAAATGGGGCTTTTCCAAAGTTGTACTAATTTACAACATATTAGCTGAAAATCCTTTAACAATTGAAGTCAGTAACTTGTTAACCACTTCCAGTCCGGACACTTTCCCCCCCTTCCAGTCCGGACTGGAAGGGGGGGAAAGTGTCCGGACAGGAAGGGGGGAAAGTGTCCGGACAGGAAGGGGGGGGAAAGTGTCCGGACAGGAAGGGGGGGAAAGTGTCCGGACAGGAAGGGGGTGAAAGTGTCCGGACTGGAAGGGGGGGAAAGTGTCTGGACTGGAAGGGGGGGGAAAGTGTCCGGACTGGAAGGGGGTGAAAGTGTCCGGACTGGAAGTGTGGTTAACAAGTTACTGACTTCAATTGTTAAAGGATTTTCAGCTAATATGTTGTAAATTAGTACAACTTTGGAAAAGCCCCATTTTCATTCATCTGTTTTTGTCCAGTGATGTTTCTTTGTGACACCTTATGGCCCTGGTACTCCTCCTGCGACCCTTTGGTATACGGCGGGCAGTCCTCTGAGCTCAGCAGTCTGTAGTGGGAACATTCAAAGGAAGCGAAGCAAGGCGCCAGATTCTTGTATGGTTAAAAACAACAATGCCATTTCTCACATCTGAAAGATCTGTAGCCGGCTCCAGGTGTCAGGGCGGTGGTGCGATATACAGCTCTCTGCAATCTGGACTGATAGGGCTGCAGGGCGTAAGAAGGGACGCGCTACAAGATCGTAAATCGGCGACGTCTCTAACTCGCGGCAGTCCGGACACTTTCCCCCCTTCCAGTCCGGACACTTTCCCCCCCTTCCAGTCCGGACACTTTCCCCCCCCCCCTTCCAGTCCGGACACTTTCCCCCCCTTCCAGTCCGGACACTTTCCCCCCCTTCCAGTCCGGACACTTTCCCCCCCTTCCAGTCCGGACACTTTCCCCCCCTTCCAGTCCGGACACTTTCCCCCCTTCCAGTCCGGACACTTTTACCCCCTTCCAGTCCGGACACTTTCACCCCCTTCCAGCCCGGACACTTTCACCCCCTTCCAGCCCGGACACTTTCACCCCCTTCCAGTCCGGACACTCCCCCCCCTCCTTCCAGTCCGGACACTTTTTCCCCCCCTTCCAGTCCGGACACTTTCCCCCCCTTCCAGTCCGGACACTTTCCCCCCCTTCCAGTCCAGGCCAATTTTCAGCTTTCAGCGCTATCACACTTTGAATGACAATTGCGCGGTCATGCAAAACTGTACCCAAATGAATTTTTTACCATTGTTTTGAGACAGATAAAGCTTTATTTTGGTGGTATTTATTCACCACTGGGATTTTTATTTTTTTTGCTATGTAAATGACAAAGTCCAAAAATTTTGAAAAAAAGTGTTTTTTTTTAAATAAAATTTTGCAAATAAATAATATTTCATCATAAATCTTTGCCAAAATTTATTCCGTTATCTTTTTAGTAAAAAAAAAAATCCAAATTAGTTTATAACCAAAAATTATAATTTTTAAACATTTGTTTTTACCTTTTTATTTTATTTTTTTTTTATTATTTTTTATTTATTTTTTTTTACATACTGTCACCCTAGCAGTAGTGTCACCATGCTGACACTGTACTACTTGTGGGGGGTGATGAAGATTTTTTTTTTTTTTTTTTTACACATTGCTTTTACACCCATATAGGATGTAAAAGCAATCATTTCTCTTTCTCTCTGTCTGCATTCTTGCACTCATTGAGAAGTACTGAGTGAGCTGTGATTGGTCACAGCTTGTCACATGGTACAAGACTGTTGTGAATAGCCCTGTACCATGTGACCTCTGTGATCATTCACAGATTTCACACGTAGTAAAGCAATGATGTCACAAGTGACATCTTGCTTACTACTTTGCATGTGATCACTGATTGGCCAATCAGTGATCACATGATCGGGACCTCGTACAGAGGTCCCGTCTGCCGATCGGTGTTTCACTGTGTCCGGAGGACACAGCGGGCACCGGATCGCGGTGCTGCGCGCTCTGAGGGAGTGCGCACAAGCAGGGTGCGGGGAGGCCGTTTATAAGCGGCCAACCGACCCTGCACTGCCACCGTCCGGCCGTTTATATATGCAACGGCCAGTGGGGAAGTGGTTAAAACAAAGAGCATCTCTTTAACTACTTGACCTCTGGAAGGTTTTACCCCCTTCATGACATTGTTTTGTTATTTATCACTGCACTACTTTAACTGGCAATTGCGCGGTCATGCTGCAACAATGTACCAAACTGAAATCTATAACTTATGGGCAGCACAGTGGCTAAATGGTTAGCACTTCCGCCTGGCAGTGCTAGGGTCGTTGGTTTGAATCCCAACCACGGCACCACCTGGAGTTTGCATGTTCTCCCTGCGTTTGCATGGTTTCCTCTAGGTACGCCGGTTTCCTCCCACACTCCAAAGACATGCTGGTAGGTTAATTGGATCCTGTCTAAATTGTCCCTAGTATGTGTATGTATGAATGTAGGTTAGGGACTTTATATTGTAAGTCCCTTGAGGGTTAGGCAGTGGCGTCCCTAAGTATGTGCACGCCGCACCGGGTGACACCTATTGCATGGGGCGACACCAAAAAGTTTTAAAGCAAGCTAACGATCCCCGCAAGATTGGGTCGGATCTGCAGTAACGCGTGGTGTCACCCCTGTCGTGCACACACAGCCTGGCTCTTCCCCTCCCTGTGTCCCCGTCGCACCCCCGGACCATTGTTGCAAGATCAGTTAACCTCGTATAGGCTGCAAGCCGACGATCCCCGCAAGATGGATCGGATCTGCAGATCGGAGTCCGATCTATTATGCTCCCCAATCCGCAGATCGGCTTGCAACCTATACGGGGTTAACGGATTTTGCAACACCGGTCTGGGGGGTGCGACGGTGACACAGGTAGAGGAAGAGCCAGGCTGTGTGTGCAGGACAGGGACCGCTCACCTCTGGAGAATGACAGCACGTGTTACCACACCGGGAGCCACCCAACCCCTGGGACGCCCCTGGGGTTGGGGACTGATGTGAAAGTACAACATATATGTAAAGCGCTGCGTAAATTGACAGCGCTATATAAATATAATAAATAAATCTTTTTTCCCCCACACAAATACAGCTTTCTTTTGGCGGTATTTGAACACTACTGGGGTTTTAAATTTTTTTTTTTATATAAATGAAAAAATACAGAAATATTTTCGACTTTGTTATAAAACATATCTAATAAAATCAAATTTCTTCAAAAATTTAAGCCAAAATGTATTTTACTACACGTCTTTGCGTTTTTGAGGCCGCTAGTATAGTTCTATATAAATACTGATCTGCACAGACACTATTACTAGTATTGGTGATGATCAGGAGACTTAAAGCGGAGTTCCACTCACTCTGTCAAAAAATAAAAGTCAGCAGCTACAGCAAAACTGTAGCTGCTGACTTTTAAAAAACAGCCACTTACCTGTCCCTCAGTGTGTCCCCTGCAGCCTGTTTCACTGGCCATCCTGTATTCCAGGAGGCCGGCATCTTCAGTGTGGGCACCAGCTGTGAAAGCTTGCAGCTTGACAGCCGGGTACCCACTGCGCATGCGCGAGAAGTGCTGCACTTCATGAATGGTCCTGTAGTCTTCTGGGACCTGTCACGTGTCCCAAAAGACTACAGGAAGGGAGGGAGGGAGGACACCTTCCGTTTCCAATCGCCTAGGTCAAGGGTAGGCAACCTGCGGCTCTCCAGCTGTTGCAGGACTACAAGTTCCATCATGCCTCTGCAAGTCATAGCTGTAACTGTCAGTTTTGTAATGTTGCAATGCCTCATGGGAAATGTAGTTCCACAACAGCTAGAGAGCCGCAGGTTGCCTACCCTTGGCCTAGGTGATCGGACCGGAAATGGGAGAGGGTACCTGTCAAATTCGGGTACCTGCTCCCCTCCGCCCCCCAAAGGTGCCAATCCTTAATGGGGAGCAGTCCTTAAAGTGGAACTTCCTCTTTTGGGTGGAGCTCCGCTTTAAGAGTTGATTTACTAAATGTAAATATACTGTGTACATTTTTTTGCATGGAAATATGTAGTTTATTTTATTGTAGGCCTGTGATTTTTAGGAATAACTGACTGAAATCTGTCCGAACAAGAGTCTAGTAAACATCCCGGATATGATAAAATTTGAAACACAAAATCATAAATTATAATTTAATAATCATAAAAAATAATAATAATAAATTTAATTCAATATAATCAAACCAAAAACACTGAAATTTGAAATATAGCGCCAAGTTCGCACATCGCTGAGCTCAGTCGCAGAATCGTTTTCAGTGTCTGATGAGGAATTTCCCCCACAAATCATTATCACTCAATTCTGCAAGTGGTTCTGATTTACTATCGCTGTTCTCTAGCCGGTCTAAAACCGCGTCTGACCTAAAGGGACGCTTTTTGGACGCCATGGACGTTTCTCAGTTTCCAGGCAGCAAGAACAGTAAAAATGCAGGCAGGGCGCCGGACAAAGCACTCGGGACAAAATGTATGTGAAATGGTTTGATACAGGAATGTTATACTATGTGATTTTAGTGAATTTAGTGAATGTCACTTTTTGACATTTTTAAAATTTCCCGCCAGTTCCGTCCCCCGTACGTCCCGACGTCGCAGGGAACGGAACCCAGAAGACAGATTCCAGCATCAGTCAGAGGAGATGGCCGGGGACACTGCAGGGGGGACATCGCGGGAGCGCAGGACAAGGCACGTGAAGAAGAGATCCCGGAGTAACGCTGCAGTGTATTCCCGAGTATAGCTCGGGGGGGTCACCGCTTGTGGTGCTGAAACTTTACCCCGAGCTACACTCGGGAATACCGCCAGGGGGGTTAAAGAGCAAACTAAACTGCAGGTACATGTATCAGATTTCTATATCAAGACTTTCAATGTCAGATACCTCCCGGTAAGTGTATCTGCCGTCAACCAAAGTGGATCCGACCAACCCTCCGGGACCAACAGCGTTAACGGCCAAGCGATGGCACGCCACTAGGCTAGCTGTCACCAGCTTGACGATCTCAAAGTTCTTCTTCAGATCCTGAATGATACTCTAAAAACAAGAAATACAATGTTAGTTGTGGTCTGCAACACAGAAAATGCAATTTTGCATTGGAGCCCTCTTTTCAAAAAATGTGTTTTTCTAGACTTTTCAGGAAAAACATTCTTACAGATAAACAAAGCATTTGCATCCCAGAAGACACAAGTCTCCTACCTTGTCTTGCTTTTGGTAGGTCTGCTTGTTGAATGAGCGGGTTATCTCATGGAGCTGGCGTAAGGCTGGCACCACCCACACCACTTGTGGGTTGTTATGTTGAGATGACTTGAGAGAAAACAAAAAAAAAGGTGGCATAGGTGAAGACAAAAGCTTTAATTATTTTTATAGACCCAACAGATCCAGAAAAGGCACGGCCCCCACATCAAGATACAAGCAGAAAACTGCTAACTGCAAAATGTTAAAGCGGAGCTCCACCCAAAAATTAACTAAATTTCCAAAGTGAAATGGAAAAAAAGATTCGCCTTTAACAATCTCTCATACCCGAAATTCAAATCCACCTGGTCACTATGGTCAAATCACCCGAAAATCTACAGTTCAATTTTGATAGCTCAAAACTACAGAATGTAACTTACCGTCAACACTAGACTGGTACACACTTATGCACTGGACGGTTAGTCCACATTGTTTTTAATCTACTTGTTGCAAGAATCTTCGTTTATACCTCAATAAACCCCATACTATACTACACTATGGAGATGTCTCTGCTTTGACTCCCCTGGGGAGTATTCATTTACAACCACCCACCTGACCACCGGAGAGGGAGCCTTTACATCCCCCATAGGGCAGTACCTAAGCTATCACCTGAGGGGAGCTCTGGACCACCTTGATGTCCTACTAACAGCATCCAGGACCACTGAAGGGAATATACTGGATTCCAGACATTACCCAGACTGGTAGATGACATCAGGAAAAATATATACAAACGCTCATTAAATTGCGCGTTCTGGTGAGTGCGCATTCTTTCCGCACTTTATATCACAGCACCTTACTAATAGGAGGATACAGTCACATGAGAGCACCTGAAGTCACTTCAAGTCACCTAATGAACGGTTTATCTAACGTTGTATATACGCTTATTACTCATATTGTATTTCCCTTCTAGCGCTGCACTTCTGATTTACATGGTACACACTTACCTCTCCCTAACACCCACCAGGTTTAGACTCATAAACCCTTCCCTGTTACTACCCCCACTTCTTCCCTTACCCCCCTCATTTGTAATCCCCTTTCCCCCCTACGCAGGTTCAACAACATACACTAATGAATGAATAATGTCTGATAATTACATGTAGTTACATAGTTAGTCTGGCTGAAAAAAGACAAAAGTCCATCCAGTTCAACCATAGAAAAAAAAAAAAAAAAAAGTTATAATCCTACACCCACAGTTGATCCAGAGGAAGGCAAAAAAAAAGCCCAGCAAAGCACAATCCAATTTGCTCCTGCAGGGGAAAGAATTCCTTCCTGATCCCCCGAGAGGCAATCGGATATTCCTGGATCAACTTTCCCTATAAATGTTATATCCAGTTATATTCTGTGTATCCAAGAAAGGATCGAGGACTTTCCTACAGCAATCCACTGATCTGGCCACAACCAACTCTGGAGAAGTGGAACCTCAATAACCTGTACTGTAGTGATATATTAAAAATCACGATTGCTGTGGCACTATAGCGTTTGCATGTTGCACGTGTGGCACCTTTTTGAGACCTAAGATAATACACTATGTCGAGGTTTTTTTCTGTTTGAGGTACACAAAGATTTTTGGGATTCATCATCGATCATCGGAATTAGTGTGTATTTTTCAAGATCGTGGACTTATTTGGCATTTTTTTTAATATTTTTTTTTGGCTTTGGACTTTGGGTTTATTTATGTTAAGTTTGTTTTATATATTTTATGTTGGTACTTCAGGGGAAAGATTGTGAAACGACTTAATTGGGTTTTGTATTAAGGTGGGTGTGTGTTGTCTCATAGTTATTTTGTAGTGATATATTGTATGAAAATGAACCTGTCTATTGTACCGTTTATACCCATTTTGAAAAATTGAATAAAGAACATTCAAATTTAATAAAAAAAAAAAAGCAATAAAAATGCAAATGTGTTTTTGTTGGGTTTTGCAATGCAAATGCGGAGTTTTTTTCTAATGGATCAGTGTGGAAGTAGCCTAACGTTGCATATCAGAGAGCCCCCTTTACGGTGGTATTTGGTTTACTAAAGTTCACATACACTGTATTGGGGAGGCAGCTTACCACTGGGCATGTAGTGACGCATGGATTTGTTGATAGTTAATAAAAGATAGAATGAACAGGTTGCATATAAAATTGATCCCATTTATTTTATATAGGGTGTTTCTGCAGCTCCCTCCCCATTGTGTTGCATTAATTTGTTGCCAGAAGTAATAGCAATAGCAACAAGAAAATCTACAATTTTTGGGGAAATTGTGTGAAGTGTTCTTGCCTCCACCAGTAGTCTACAACTGGAGTGTGCCGAGTAACTGGGCGGAGTAGCGGACCCCCTAGCGGGAAGAGGGATACTCCCGTCCATCCATTCGGCTCCAGGAAAATCCATAAGGAAGCAAGGTGACCCCATTAGCGGGAAGAGGGATACTCCCGTTCATCCATTCGACTCCAGGAAAATCCATAAGGAAGCAAGGTGACCCCATTAGCGGGAAGAGAGATACTCCCGTCCATCCATTCGGCTCCAGGAAAATCCATAAGGAAACAAGGAGACCCCCCTAGCGGGAAGAGGGATACTCCCGTCTATCCATTCGGCTCCAGGAAAATCCATAAGGAAGCAAGGAGACCCCCTAGCGGGAAGATTAATACTCCTGTCCATCCATTTGGCTCCAGGAAAATCCATAAGGAAACAAGGCGACCCCATTAGCGGGAAGAGGGATACTCCCCGTCTATCCATTCGGCTCCAGGAAAATCCATAAGGAAGCAAGGAGACCCCTAGCGGGAAGATTAATACTCCTGTCCATCCATTTGGCTCCAGGAAAATCCATAAGGAAACAAGGCGACCCCCCTAGCGGAAGAGGGATACTCCCGTCCATCCATTCGGATCCAAGAAAATCCATAAGGAGAGAAGGAGACCCCCTAGCGGGAAGAGGGATACCCCCATCCATCCATTTGGCTCCAGGAAAATCCATAAGGAAGCAAGGAGACCCACTAGCGGGAAGATTAATACTCCTGTCCATCCATTTGGCTCCAGGAAAATCCATAAGGAAGCAAGGAGACCCACTAGCGGGAAGAGGGATAATACCCCCGTCCATCCATTCGGCTCCAGGAAAATCCATAAGGAAGCAAGGAGACCCACTAGCGGGAAGAGGGATACTCCCGTCCATCCATTCGGCTCCAGGAAAATCCATAAGGATGCAAGGAGACCCCGTAGCGGGAAGAGGGATACTCCCGTCCATCCATTCGGCTCCAGGAAAATCCATAAGGATGCAAGGAGACCCCCTAGCGGGAAGAGGGATACTCCCGTCCATCCATTCGGCTCCAGGAAAATCCATAAGGAAACAAGGAGACCCCCTTAGCGGGAAGAGGGATACTCCCGTCCATCCATTCGGCTCCAGGAAAATCCATAAGGAAACAAGGAGACCCCCTTAGCGGGAAGAGGGATACTCCCTCCATCCATTCGGCTCCAGGAAAATCCATAAGGAAGTAAGGGTACCCCCTGCTGGGAAAAGGGAACACTCCGTCTGTCCATCCATCCCAGGGAAAGAGGGATAATTCTATCCATTTACCACTAAGTCCAAATAAAGGGACACAAGCTTTTTATGACCTCACTTACCGGTTTGGTCATATACATCAAGTGAGGGCACAACCGGTGAAGGTGCACAATATATTTTTTAAGCTCGGTGAATTACACAGTTATTATTTGGCATCACAGCAATAGAAGAAGTACCAAAGGCATGGACTCATTAAGGACTAGATTGTAGTAGAAATAGAATTGCAGTGATATTGTTACATATGCTTTTATTGCGGGAATTTTATTTAACACTTATTCACTCATAATCTTTGCAATTGTCAGTGGAGCGCGACACTATTTCTGTTTTTTTAATAAACAATAAATTGGCACACTGATGATACAAGTACCGCCTAGTAAATTTTACCTTTTTAATGTCCTCGATGCATTTTATGATGTAGCTCCTCTTGACGGTCTCTTTTACTGCATAGGCGTCGCTCAGGATTGTCAGGTGCTCCTCTAAGGCTTGTTGGATTAAGTTAGATGGCAGAGTTGGTAAGTGAGCGAGATCCCAGAGGACCTCCAACACCTGCGGAGTAAGAGATGTAATTACTGTGGTTATAAAGGCCGTGGGCCCTGGGCCGGCAGTGGTTGACTCATTCCAGGCCTCACCTTTCCTGTTGTCGTCTCGTTGCGTGCCTCTCGTCCGATACGCCCTATGAGGCTCAACAGTTTCTGACGGACCCGATCGGATTCAGTTTCCCAGCTCTGCGGACAAGAAAAGCGTCAGTCTGCAAATATTAGGAAGCACCAAATGGAACTCAATCGTCTATCCTTCAGTTTTTATAACATGGAACATAAAACATTTAAAAGGTTCACCTTTACACAAAAAATTATGAATGCACATTTTTTAGCATTTTGGACACTATTTTTGGGGGGGGGACGCAGTTCCCAAGTTTTGATTTTTGATGGTTTAATCAAAGGGGACGTTTGGCCTCCCCTCTCTTTGCCCGCAGTCTTCTGGGACACGTCACAGGTCCCAGGAGGATGCAGGAGCATTCACAGAGCGCAGCATGGGGCACGCATGCACAGTGGGAATCTGGCTGTGGAGCTGCAAGGAGTCACAGCCAGAACCCTAAGACAGGCGCAGAACCTGCTTCCTACAAGTCCCATGAGGCACTGCAAGGTTGACAGTTACAAGCATGACTCCCAAAGGCATGATGGGACTTGTAGTTTCACAACAGCTGGAGGCCCGCCCGTTTGACACCCCTGCTCTAAAAATCTACCTCTCTACCCCTCGCCTCACCCCTTCAGTCTCCGCCCGAATCACCTGCCTACTGAACGGCATATCAGATTGGATGTCACTCCACTTCCTCAAATTAAACCTTGCTAAAACCGAGCTCCTAATTTTCCCCCCAGCCCGCCCCCCCCCCCCCCAAGCTCTACATCACAACCAACAACGCCACCATCAGTCCCACCCCGCAAGCCAAAGTCCTAGGTGTCACTCTAGACTCAGACCTGTCCTTCCAACCCCATGTCCACTCGTTGGCAAACTCATGCAGACTCCACCTCTGCAACATCTCCAAAACACGTCCGTTCCTAACCCCAGACACTACTAAACAACTCGTTCACTCCCTTATTATCTCACGTCTGGACTACTGCAACTCCCTCCTCACCGGCCTACCCCAACACAGGCTATCCCCGCTTCAGTCTATCCTGAACTAAGCGGCCAGACTCATCCACCTTACCAACCTCTCCGCATCTGCCACCCCCCTCTGTCATTCCCTCCACTGGCTTCCGATTGCCCAACGCATGAAATTCAAACTACTAACACTGACATACAAAGCCATTCATAACGCTGCCCCGAACTACCTCAATGACCTGATATCCAAATACCATCCAACCCGTACTCTTCGCTCCTCACAACACCTCCTACTTTCTAGCTCCCTGGTCTCCTCCTCCCATGCCCGACTGCAGGATTTCACCAGGACTTCCCCCATCCTCTGGAACTCACTACTCCAATCCATCAGACTGTCACCTACCCTCCTCACCTTTAGGCGCACCCTGAAAACTCATCTCTTCGGGGAAGCCTACCCCACCCTCACCTAACAGCCGATCTCCTCCACTCCATCCCCTACAGCCATTTCCTCCTGTACCACTATCCCTTCCCTCCTAGATTGTAAGCTCCAACGAGCAGGGCCCTCGAACCCCACGTGTATTGTATTGTTACTGTCTTGTCTCGTGTTCTGTCCCCCACTATATTGTACAGCGCTGAGCAAACTTTTTGGCGCTATATAGACACTGTATAATAATAATAATACATTACACCAGCGATCAGCAGATCACTGATGCCATGCAGGTCTCCTGCAGACAGTGTCAGTGTATCTTGTGGTCTCCTTATATCTCAGGTCATGACCTGATACCAACCTTTTGGGAAATGTATAATTCCCTCCTGGCTGCAATATTGTGATCTTGTTTTTAAAGTTAGTATATAGTTGAGGTGGTCTTTTTTTTTAAATTCTCTAATATGGCTATTTTGATGTTTTCTAGTCGCACGGGTGGTATACCTGACACTGTGCCATTATTCTGCCCCCCGTGGGGGAGGTATGGTGGTGCCCGTCTAGCCCCTTCTATTTGGCATGAGTTCACATTAGTAAGCAACTACTAATTGTAAATGTCCCGTGTGATCTGCCAGTTACCGACTCTCCTCATGCTGTGACAGCGTGTGAGGAAAGGTCTGCCGTTATCCGGTAAGTCTGTTTACAATGTAATCGGCTGTTATCAGACACAGCTGATCACATGGTAAAGGGCCGCTGTGATTTGACCTCTACTGTGATCTGTAATCAGCTACAGTGGGGCAAAAAAGTATTTAGTCAGCCACCAATTGTACAAATTCTCCCACTTACAAAGATGAGAGAGGCCTGTAATTGGCATCATAGGTAGACCTCAACTATGAGAGACAAAATGAGAAAACAAATCCAGACAATCACATTGGCTGATTTGGAAAGAATTTATTTGCACATTATGGTGGAAAATAAGTTTTTGGTCACCTACAAACAAGCAAGATTTCTGGCTCCCACAGACCTGTACCTTCTTCTTTAAGAGGCTCCTCTGTCCTGCACTCATTACCTGTATCAATGGCACCTGTTTGAACTTGTTATCAGTATAAAAGACACCTGTCCACAACCTCAAACAGTCACACTCCAAACTCCACTATGGTGAAGACCAAAGAGCTGTCTGCTGACCAAAGGACACCAGAAACAAAATTGTAGACCTGCACCAGGCTGGGAAGACTGAATCTGCAATAGGCAAGCAGCTTGGTGTGAACAAATCAACTGTGGGAGCAATAATTAGAAAATGGAAGACATACAAGACCACTGATAATCTCCCTCGATCTGGAGCTCCACGCAAGATCTCACTCCGTGGGGGCAAAATGATCACAAGAACGGTGAGCAAAAATCCCAGGACCACACGGGGGGACCTAGTGAATGACCTGCAGAGAGCTGGGACCAACATAACAAAGGCTACCATCAGTAACACACTACGCCGCCAGGGACTCAGATCCTGCAGTGCCACACGTGTCCCCCTGCTTAAGCCAGTACATGTCCGGGCTCATCTGAAGTTTGCTAGAGAGCATTTGGATGATCCAGAAGAGGATTGGGAGAATGTCATATGGTCAGATGAAACCAAAATAGAACTGTTTGGTAGAAACACAACTCGTCGTGCTTGGAGGAGAGAGAATGCTGAGTTGCATCCAAAGAACACCATACCTACTGTGAAGCATGGGGGTGGCAACTTCATGCTTTGGGGCTGTTTTTCTGCAAAGGGACCAGGATGACTGATCCATGTACAGGACATAATGAATGGGGCCATGTATCCTGAGCTTTTGAGTGCAAACCTCCTTCCATCAGCAAGGGCATTGAAGATGAAACGTGGCTGGGTCTTCCAACATGACAATGATCCCAAACATACCACCCGGGCAACGAAGGAGTGGCTTCGTAAGAAGCATTTCAAGGTCCTGGAGTGGCCTAGCCAGTCTCCAGATCTCAACCCCATAGAAAACCTTTGGAGGGAGTTGAAAGTCCGTGTTGTCCAGCGACAGCCCCAAAACATCACTGCTCTAGAGGAGATCTGCATGGAGGATGGGCCAACATACCAGCAACAGTGTGTGCCAACCTTGTGAAGACTTACAGGAAACGTCTGACCTCTGTCATTGCCAACAAAGGATATATAACAAAGTATTGACATGAACTTTTCATATTCACCAAATACTTATTTTCCACCATAATTTGCAAATAAATTCTTTCCAAATCAGCCAATGTGATTGTCTGGATTTGTTTTCTCATTTTGTCTCTCATAGTTGAGGTCTCCCTATGATGCCAATTACAGGCCTCTCTCATCTTTGTAAGTGGGAGAACTTGCATAATTGGTGGGACTAAATACTTTTTTGCCCCACTGTACGTCCGAAGGACACAGCGATCACGGAGCGCGTCATGTGCGTGTCCAAGGGGGCACACTGGGGGGTGTGGTTCTGAGAGGAAGTCAATGGACGCCCTCCCAGAAGTGGACAACCGCGCTCTAGCAGTGTTTTGGCGACAGCGCGGTCGGGAAGTAGTTAATCAGACCAACAAGTCTGCTGCATTATGCAAAGATCACAATAGCAAATGCATCTAGAACAGGCAGTAATAACACGCGCTGCCAATATCCGAACACCAAGCAAACGTTACCTTTTGAATTAGCACAAAGAGGTGGTTTAGCTGTTCTGGGTTGAACTTCACAGCTGCAGCTGCGATAATAGTATGAATGTTTTCTATCACAGTGGATGATTGCCCGGACTGGGGGGAGAAGACATCCAGTATTACAAGTTTTAACACATAATTGAACAACAAATATTTAATACAATATAATAAATGATGCTGTGGGGATGTTCACAGTGAAATCCCTGCTCTGCATACTGTCTGTACAGAAACACAAACAGGGAGAACTTTCTATTCCACATTTACTTAGTTGGTGATTTTAATCGTTTGTTTATTCATGTTATTTTTTTCCATTTTGAGTAGGAGGAATAGTGCCCCATAATTGGTGCCAGTGGGAGGAAGAGGGCCCCATGATGGGAGTCAGCGGGCCCCGTGATGGGAGTCAGATAGGCCCCCGTGATGGGAGTCAGAGGGCCCCGTGATGGGGAGTCAGAGGGTAATAGTGCCCCCGTGCCAGTGGGAGTCAGAGGGCCCCGTGATGGGAGTCAGAGGGCCCCGTGATGGGAGTCAGAGGGCCCCGTGATTGTGGAGTGAGAGGGCCCCGTGATGGGAGAAGAGGGCCCCGTGATGGGAGTCATCAGTGGGTCAGTGGGGAGGAAGAGGGCCCCGTGATGGGAGTCAGTGGGAGGAAATAGGGCCCCGTGATGGGAGTCAGTGGGAGGAAGAGGGCCCCGTGATGGGAGTCAGTGGGAGGAATAGGGCCCCGTGAATGGGAGTCAGTGGGAGGAAGAGGGCCCCGAATGATGGGAGTCAGTGGGAGGAATTAGGGCCCGATGATTGAGTCAGTGAATGGATGATTGCAGTCAGTGGGAGGAAGAGGGCCCCCGTGATGGGAGTCAGTGGGAGGAATAGGGCCCCGATGATGATTGAGTCAGTGGGAGTAGGGCCCATGATTGGGAGTGGGAAGAGGGCCCCGATGATGGGAGTCAGTGGGAGGAAGAGGGCCCCGTGATGGGAGTCAGTGGGAGGAAGAGGGCCCGTGATGGGAGTCAGTAGGGGAGGAAGAGGGCCCCGTGATGGGAGTCAGGAATAGGGGGAGGAAGAGGGGCCCCGATGATGGGAGTCAGTGGGAGGATAGGGCCCGAGGGTCAGTGGGAGGAATAGGGGATGGTCAGTGGGAGGAATAGGGCCCCGTGATAGGGGAGTCAGTGGGAGGAAGAGGGCCCCGTGATGGGAGTCAGTGGGAGGAAGAGGGCCCCGTGATGGGAGTCAGTGGGAGGAAAGAGGGCCCCGTGATTGGAGTCAGTGGGAGGAATAGTGCCCCGTGATTGGAGTCAGTGGGAGGGCCCCGTGATGGGAGTCAGTGGGAGGAAGAGGGCCCCGTGATGGGAGTCAGTGGGAGGAAGAGGGCCCCGTGATGGGAGTCAGTGGGAGGAAGAGCGCCCCGTGATTGGAGTCAGTGGGAGGAATAGCGCCCCGTGATGGGAGTCAGTGGGAGGAATAGCGCCCCGTGATTGGAGTCAGTGGGAGGAATAGCGCCCCGTGATTGGAGTCAGTGGGATAGCGCCCCGTGATTGGAGTAGCGGCCTATCATTAGTGTCAGGATTATGCCCCAATGTTGGTGTCAGTTGGAGGAATAGTGCCTCATGTCACTAAGCCCCAAGGGCTGGATAAAGGCTAGCAAAGGGCCACATCTGGCCCTTGGGCTGCAGTTTGGAGACCACTGCTGTACAGTATAGCTACTGTATTATACAGCTATGACAGCGCAATTAAATGCAAAATATAAAAGTGATAAAAGATTGTAATATAATGAAAAGATAACTGTGATCTGTGTGATTGTATTTCTTTGCGGAGGAGCATTCTAAATAATCGGGGCACACAATGTATGACAAGCGGTACACATCAGTTATCTATCCCAATGACCAGGATTTCCGAGAGTCTGTTCATTAATAAAGTGGAAAACGCATGTGTAGGGTCATTTACGATTTGGGTCTTTAGAGGAAAATGCTATTAGTGCTTCTGAATCTTCTCCCCACCTGGATCTTCCAGATTTTGGAAAGTTCATCCAAGGACAATTTACTTCCGAGCAGTTCAATGATTCCCTTTATCCGGTCACAGTACTGTGCCTGGTCAATGTTTCCTGAAAAAGAACATCACTAATGAGCTCGAACAGTCCTCCCGAGTGTGCACATGTGTGCAGACTTCCTTGCAAACTAAATCGCAAAACCAAAAGTAATTTTTTAATAAAAGAAATAAGAAGAATTATTTTATCAAATCCCATGGAAACCCACCATCTGCTGCTATATACCACAATTAACCAAAATCTACAAACCTCATTTCCCTTAAACCACAACTCACCGAGCTGCCTGAACAGGAAAGCACACAATGTACTGAGAGACATATCTGCCCACATCTACAATTAAAGTTTAACTTGCTTATAGTTTCCCTTCCCAGGTTTCTCTATTGCCCCTCATCCACAAGCATCAAAGCCATTTTAAAAAACATCCTTCCGTTTTCATTACATACGTTATTTTGGACCTAGTGATGTTATAACTGGATCTCTGTGCTTCTCTGTGCAATGCAGGCAGATCATGACTGGTGGGAGGGGCTGGCAGAGTGCTGTACATAGCTTCCTAAAAACATCACAGCAGCCTGTCTCAGTACACTTCTCAAAAGCCCTCGGCACTTGCGCAAGGAGTGGGCTGGCTACTGGGAGGAGTTAAGCAAGTATCAAAATGCCTTGATGGGTGGATGTCAGTCTGGAGGAGAGGTTGTTCCTAGGCAGACCACCCTAGGTAAGACCCACATGTGATGCTTAGCCTCCATGACAGAAAAGCCAATGAATGACAGGGGCGGGCCAGCGAGACTGGGAATGAAAGGGGCGGGCCAGCGAGACTGGGAATGAAAGGGGCGGGCCAGCGAGACTGGGAATGAAAGGGGCGGGCCAGCGAGACTGGGAATGAAAGGGGCGGGCCAGCGAGACTGGGAATGAAAGGGGCGGGCCAGCGAGACTGGGAATGAAAGGGGCGGGCCAGCGAGACTGGGAATGAAAGGGGCGGGCCAGCGAGACTGGGAATGAAAGGGGCGGGCCAGGGAGAGCGAGACTGGGAATGAAAGGGGAGGGCCAGGGAGAGCGAGACTGGGAATGAAAGGGGAGGGCCAGGGAGAGCGAGACTGGGAATGAAAGGGGAGGGGGGAGGGCCAGGGAGAGCGAGACTGGGAATGAAAGGGGAGGGCCAGGGAGAGCGAGACTGGGAATGAAAGGGGAGGGCCAGGGACAGCGAGACTGGGAATGAAAGGGGAGGGCCAGGGAGAGCGAGACTGGGAATGAAAGGGGAGGGCCAGGGACAGCGAGACTGGGAATGAAAGGGGAGGGCTAGGGACAGCGAGACTGGGAATGAAAGGGGAGGGCCAGGGACAGCGAGACTGGGAATGAAAGGGGAGGGCCAGGGACAGCGAGACTGGGAATGAAAAGGGAGGGCCAGGGACAGCGAGACTGGGAATGAAAGGGGCGGGCCAGGGACAGCGCCAGGGAGAGCGAGACTGGGAATGAAAGGGGCGGGCCAGGGACAGCGAGACTGGGAATGAAAGGGGAAAAGGGGGCCAGGGACAGCGAGACTGGGAATGAAAGGGGCGGGCCAGGGACAGCGAGACTGGGAATGAAAGGGGCGGGCCAGGGACAGCGAGACTGGGAATGAAAGGGGCGGGCCAGGGACAGCGAGACTGGGAATGAAAGGGGCGGGCCAGGGACAGCGAGACTGGGAATGAAAGGGGCGGGCCAGGGACAGCGAGACTGGGAATGAAAGGGGCGGGCCAGGGACTGCGAGAATGGAATGAAAAGGGGCGGGCCAGGGACTGCGAGACTGGGAATGAAAAGGGCGGGCCAGGGACAGCGAGACTGGGAATGAAAAGGGCGGGCCAGGGACAGCGAGACTGGGAATGAAAAGGGCGGGCCAGGGACAGCGAGACTGGGAATGAAAAGGGCGGGCCAGGGACAGCGAGACTGGGAATGAAAGGGGGGCGGGCCAGGGACAGCGAGACTGGGAATGAAAGGGGCGGGCCAGGGACAGCGAGACTGAGAATGAAAGGGGCGGGCCAGGGACAGCGAGACTGAGAAAGAAAGGGGCGGGCCAGGAACAGCGAGACTGAGAATGAAAGGGGCGGGCCAGGCCAGGGACAGCGAGACTGAGAGAATGAAAGGGGCGGGCCAGGGACAGCGAGACTGAGAATGAAAGGGGCGGGCCAGGGACAGCGAGACTGAGAATGAAAGGGGCGGGCCAGGGACAGAGAGACTGAGAATGAAAGGGGCGGGCCAGGGACAGCGAGACTGGGGTCGGAAACGAGCTAGATGATGCTGGGCACCCCCCCCAGCCAGAAAATGAAGCAGCTCTGACTTGCTGAAACTTCTAATTCACACTGTGAGCAGCTCACAGTGTGCAGAGAAACCAGAGTAAGTCATTTCAGTGAGAGGGGCTCATCAACTTCCAAATACACCTACGAAAACTTTTAGCCAGTAAGAAACCTGGAATGTTTGCGTAGACACCAGGCTATTTGCCACCATCAGTCACACCGCTCCTCCTCTACCATAATACATCTCGAGTTTTAACAGCTGTAATTAGTCGAGTGAAATGCTGACCTTCCAGTGCTATCGATAGGACAGAATTTTCCACCAGCCAATCCAGGAGCCGGTCAGTATCTATGGCGTTCTTCACAGATTTTGATAAAGTGCTGTCTTCTATTAATTTGGTTACCTTGGAGAAAAAAAAGAAACGTGGAAGTAAGGTGAAGTGCGCAGGGTGGGACTGCAGCGGACAAGGACACATCTCAGGTGACAGCAGACTTACCTCTTTAAGAGAATTCATTTTTGCGCTAAAGTGAGGAGATTTCAGCATTCGTAGTAAGATGTCCAGCCGAAGATCGTCCACCGCATTCACCAGGTCCGGCTGGAAACGCATGCACAGCAGCTTAATGGCAGACAGGAGCTCGGGGATACTGACTAACCTCTGCAGGAGGAAAGAAGAATAGTCAGGAATTACGAAGGTTTGATTGGAAGAAGAACTTCTAAAAAAGCTGCTGACCATAGATTGCCAGCTTCTTATATCTTTTATTTGGAATGCAGAAACATCTAAAGAAAAGACCGGGGGACCCTCTACCGAGGAGCAACGCCGGGGGACCCTCTGCCGAGGAGCAACGCCGGGGGACCCTCTGCCGAGGAGCAACGCCGGGGGACCCTCTGCCGAGGAGCAACGCCGGGGGACCCTCTGCCGAGGAGCAACGCCGGGGGACGCTCTACCGAGGAGCAACGCCGGGGGACGCTCTACCGAGGAGCAACGCCGGGGGACGCTCTACCGAGGAGCAACGCCGGGGGACGCTCTACCGAGGAGCAACGCCGGGGGACGCTCTACCGAGGAGCAACGCCGGGGGACGCTCTACCGAGGAGCAACGCCGCGGGAAGCTCTACCGAGGAGCAATGCCGCGGGAAGCTCTACTGAGGAGCAACGCCGCAGGAAGCTCTACCAAGGAGCAAAACCAAGAAATACTCTAATTGGGATCCCTCACTGATTCTACAAATGGATGCAAACAATCTGACTACACCTCCTCCATGTTTACAGTGTTTGTTGGAGACCCAGCTGTAACGTATTTTTCAAACCCTTCATATCAGGTGTTTCCAAAATTTATAAACAAAGGGCCAGTTTACGGTCCTTCAGACTTTAGTGGTGCCAGACTGTGGCCAATGGGAGTAGAAATGCCCCATCACTGGTTTTAGTGGAAGGAATAGTGTCCTATTGTTGATACCAGTGGCATGAACAGCACCCCACCATTGGTGTCAGTGGGAGGAATAGTACCCCACCATTGGTGTCAGTGGGAGGAATAGCACCCCACCATTGGTGTCAGTGGGAGGAATAGCACCCCACCATTGGTGTCAGTGGGAGGAATAGCACCCCACCATTGGTGTCAGTGGGAGGAATAGCACCCCACCATTGGTGTCAGTGGGAGGAATAGCACCCCACCATTGGTGTCAGTGGGAGGAATAGCACCCCACCATTGGTGTCAGTGGGAGGAATAGTGCCCCATCATTAATAGAAGCTGTGGATGAAATAGTGCCCCAAGGGTCAGATAGAGGCAAACAAAGGGCCACAGTTTGGAGGCCACTGCTTTATATGGACCAACACAATACCAATTTTCAGCAGCAGGTGCCGCAGTAAGCAACATCAAAAATGTAAATATTAGAGGTACTAATATAGCGGCATCAATTAATGCAGCATTTTACATATATTATACATTCACAGTCCCTGACCTCAAGAAGTTTATAGTCTAAGGTCCCTAACTCACATTTTTATTAGGGCCAATTTACACAGGAGCCAATTATCCTACCAGCATGTCTTTGGAGTGTGGAAGGAAACCGGGATACAAGGAGGAAACCCGCACAGTGAGAACATGCAAACTCTGGGCAGGTAGTGTCATGGTTGGGACTCACTCAACAACCCTAGCGCTGCCAGGCGGAAATGCTAACCACTTAGCTGCGATCAAATCCATAAACAACTGAATAACTATCATATTCCTTTTGATCAATTTACACTCAGTTTCGATCATATTCAATCATACTGAGCTGATTCGCCAGAGTGGATTGTTACTGATCGTTCTGCATGGATTGGCAATATCATGATGCTCTTTTCATGAATACTTATTTTGATTGGTCAGATTATGAGGTTACATGGTGGAAGCAGAGATGCGAACGAGAACCGACAATACTAAGTTACGATTGTATCTCATCTAGTGATTGAAATCCACTCCCAAGTGGGTAGCAAATCATTCACATGAGTTGTCGGCTACAGAATGATTATTCCTATTGGAAAAGATCGATTGGAAGTGAATCTGACCATTTATTGGTGAATTTGACCATTTATTGAAGCGTGTAAAGCCACCAAGGAAAACCTGAGAACTGTAGCGGCAGGGACACGGTTGTGAACTACAACTACCAGGAAAGGGAGAGTCTATGAAGGATAATACAACACAGAATACTGTAACCATACCTTGTCCTTCAGATCCTTCTCTTCCACATTCTGTACATACTTTATCATCTTATGAATAACATGATCCAGCATTGGCTGATGGTATAAAGCAAGATTTCAAAATCAGTAATGATCATTATTAAAATAAAAATTAAAAGCAAGTATTCTGAATACAAAAAGATTTTATACATATACACACGTACATTTTATTTATATATATACACACACATTTTATATATATATACACATACATACATACACACACAGGGTGATTGAAAAGTAACTCCTTATTTTAAAAATCTTATAATTTATTTTTTAATCATTTTTACAATAAATGAATATGAGAAAAACACACATAACATGGAGTTTTAATTAAAATTCGACATGTGCGCCAGCCTTCGCCTGCAGCTTCTGAAGCCGCTCGGGAATCGCATCAACTGATCTTCACAGGAACTCTTGTGGGATGGCAGAAATAACTTCTCGTAGTCGCCCTTCAAGTTCTTCTAAAGTCTTTGGTTTCGTGGAGTAAACTTGTTCCTTCAACCAACCCCAAAGAAAAAAGTCTAAAAGGTGTTAAATCAAGGCTTCTGGCCGGCCACTCATGCGGTCCACGTCGACCCAACCATCTCCCAGGAAAATTTTCATTCAGCCATTCACGAACAATAATAGCAACATGTGGAGGAGCACCATCTTGCATAAAAATCAAGTCTTCAATATTCTCCCAGGTATTGACAACTGGCCAGATTTCATCTTGCAGCATAGTGAGATACCTTTCGGCATTCATGGTATCGCAGATTTAATTGTCATAGATTAAGGAACATACATTAAAGAATTGAGAAAAAAGTAACTTCATATAAAAAATGTATAAATAGTTTAAAATAGGGAGTTACTTTTCAATCACCCTGTATATATAAATAAACACACACACACACACACATATATATATATATATATATATATATATTTTATATATTCTGCAACATCTCCAAGATATGAACATTCCTCACCCCAGACACCACCAAACAACTCGTACACTCCCTCATCATCTTACGCCTGGACTATTGCAATTCCCTTCTCACTGGCCTACCCAAACGAACGCTATCCCCACTCCAGTCTATCCTGAACTCAGCGGCCAGACTCATCCACCTCACCAACCGCTCCGCATCTGCCTCCCCCCTCTGCCAATGCCTTCATTGGCTCCCGATTGCCCAACACATCAAATTCAAACTGCTAACCCTGACCTACAAAGCCATTCACAACGCCGCCCCAAACTACATAACCGACCTGATACCCAAATACTACCCCACCCGTGCCCTCCGCTCTTCACAGGACCTCCTACTCTCTAGCTCCCTGGTCTCCTCCTCCCACGCCCGATTGCAGGACTTCTCCAGGACTTCCCCCATCCTCTGGAACTCCCTACCCCAATCCATCAGACTGTCGCCTACCCTCCTCACCTTCAGGCGCACCCTGAAAACCCTCCTCTTCAGGGAAGCCTACCCCGCCCTCACCTAACACCCGACCTCACCTAACAACTAACCTCCTCCACTCCTCCTACCACTCCATCCCCCACAGCCATCTCCTCCTGTACCACCTTCCCCTCCCTCCTAGATTGTAAGCTCGAAAGAGCAGGGCCCTCGAACCCCTCGTGTATTGTATTGTTACTGTATTGTCTCATGTACTGTCCCCCTTGCTACTGTACAGCGCTGAGCAAACCCTTTGGCGCTATATAAATACTGTATAATAATAATATATTTATATTTTGCAGTCACAAGGAATGTAAACATTACTTGTGACAGCAATAGGCAGTGATAGGTACTCTTTACAGAGAGATCTGGGCTCTATTAGATCCCAGACCTTTCCTGTGCACTAAAAGCATCTGATCACACAGACATCGGTGTGATCAAAGGCCGTTAAGATTTAGAAATAGTGCTGTGTACTTCCCAGGAAACCAGAAGTGACGACAGTACTCGTTGCTTCCCGTTTCCTATACCATAGAGCTCATCAGAGACATTCTGGTCCTCCATGGACTCTATGATAAGCTGGGAGAATCGCCAGACCAAATCAGACCAAAATCCAGCTCTTTGGCATCAACTCAACTCGCTGTGTTTGGAGGAGGAGAAATGCTGCCTATGACCCCAAGAACACCATCCCAACTGTCAAACATGGTGGTGGAAACATTCTGCTTTGGGGGTGTTTTTCTGCTAAGGGGACAGGACAACTGCACCGCATCAAAGGGACGATGGACGGGGCAACGTACCATCAAATCTTGGGTGAGAACCTTCTTCCCTCAGCCAGGGCATTGAAAATGGGTGGTGGATGGGTGTTCCAGCATGACAATGACCCAAAACACACAGCCAAGGCAACAAAGGAGCGGCTCAAGAAGAAGCACATTAAACTCGTCACGCTGGCTGCACGAAAATGTGCGGCCTCCCGGTGTCTGGGCTTAAACGCCGAGCGCCCGCACATTTGCGCTCTATTAAAAAAGGACATACAGTCAGGTCCATAAATATTGGGACATCGACACAATTCTAACATTTTTGGCTCTATACACCACCACAATGGATTTGAAATGAAACAAACAAGATGTGCTATAACTGCAGACTGTCAGCTTTAATTTGAGGGTATTTACATTCAAATCAGGTGAACGGTGTAGGAATTACATCAGTTTGCATATGTGCCTCCCACTTATTAAGGGACCAAAAGTAATGGGACAATTGGCTTCTCAGCCATTCCATGGCCAGGTGTGTGTTATTTCCTCATTATCCCAATTACAATGAGCAGATAAAAGGTCCAGAGTTCATTTCAAGTGTGCTATTTGCATTTGGAATCTGTTGCTGTCAACTCTCAAGATGAGATCCAAAGAGCTGTCACTATCAGTGAAGCAAGCCATCATTAGGCTGAAAAAACAAAACAAACCCATCAGAGAGATAGCAAAAACATTAGGCGTGGCCAAAACAACTGTTTGGAACATTCTTAAAAAGAAGGAACGCACCGGTGAGCTCAGCAACACCAAAAGACCCGGAAGACCACAGAAAACAACTGTGGTGGAAGACCGAAGAATTCTTTCCCTGGTGAAGAAAACACCCTTCACAACAGTTGGCCAGATCAAGAACACTCTCCAGGAGGTAGGTGTATGTGTGTCAAAGTCAATAATCAAGAGAAGACTTCACCAGAGTGAATACAGAAGGTTCACCACAAGATGTAAACCATTGGTGAGCCTCAAAAACAGGAAGGCCAGATTAGAGTTTGCCAAACGACATCTAAAAAAGCCTTCAAAGTTCTGGAACAACATCCTATGGACAGATGAGACCAAGATCAACTTGTACCAGAGTGATGGGAAGAGAGAGTATGGAGAAGGAAAGGAACTGCTCATGATCCTAAGCATACCACCTCATCAGTGAAGCATGGTTTGTGGTGGTAGTGTCATGGCGTGGGCATGTATGGCTGCCAATGGAACTGGTTCTCTTGTATTTATTGATGATGTGACTGCTGACAAAAGCAGCAGGATGAATTCTGAAGTGTTTCGGGCAATATTATCTGCTCATATTCAGCCAAATGCTTCAGAACTCATTGGACGCTTCACAGTGCAGATGGACAATGACCCAAAGCAGACTGCAAAAGCAACCAAAGAGTTTTTTAAGGGAAAGAAGTGGAATGTTATGCAATGGCCAAGTCAATCACCTGACCTGAATCCGATTGAGCATGCATTTCACTTGCTGAAGACAAAACTGAAGGGAAAATGCCCCAAGAACAAGCAGGAACTGAAGACAGTTGCAGTAGAGGCCTGGCAGAGCATCACCAGGGATGAAACCCAGCGTCTGGTGATGTCTATGCGTTCCAGACTTCAGGCTGTAATTGACTGCAAAGGATTTGCAACCAAGTATTAAAAAGTGAAAGTTTGATTTATGATTATTATTCTGTCCCATTACTTTTGGTTCCTTAATAAGTGGGAGGCACATATGCAAACTGTTGTAATTCCTACACCGTTCACCTGATTTAGATGTAAATACCCTCAAATTAAAGCTGACAGTCTGCAGTAAAAGCTCATCTTGTTCGTTTCATTTCAAATCCATTGTGGTGGTGTATAGAGCCAAAAATGTTAGAATTGTGTCGATGTCCCAATATTTATGGACCTGACTGTATGTGCAGAAAGTGTCGCCCTCAGCAAACATGTCCGGTACTCACGGAAAGGTCCCGATCTCCTCTTTCGATTGGGACCTTTCCCGATCATGTGCCAACTGTGACGCGCCGTGACTCCCTGAACCCCGCACCGCCTCCCAGCTTCTGAAACTCTTAAAGCGCAGGAAGGCGCCGGCGTGAAGGGGTTAAGGTCCTGGAGTGGCCTAGCCAGTCTCCAGACCTTAATCTGAATGAAAATCTGTGGAGTGAGCTGAAAGTTCGAGTTGCCAAACATCAGCCACCAAACCTTAATGACTTGGAGAGGATCTGCCAAGAGGAGTGGGCCAAAATCCCTCCTGAGATGTGTGCAAACCTGGGGGCCAACTCCAGGAAATGTCTGACCTCTGTGATTGCCAACAAGGGATTTGCCACCAAGTACTAAGTCATGTTTTGTGAAGGGGATCAAATACTTATTTCCCTCATGAACATGCAAATCAGTCATCATTTGTTAGACGCATTTCTGCTGAATTTGTTGCTGCTATTCTGTCTCAGTGCTACAATACACCGAACATTCGATTTTTAGACCGATCATTTATTTGTGAGTGGGCGAACATTCAAAATCAGCAGGGGAGCAAATACTTATTTCCTTCACTGTAGATATATATATATATATATATATATATATACACACACACACATACTTTAATCCAGTGATTGGTTAAATGCTTTCAACAGATGCAGCTAGCACAAGTACCCAATCTTTTTTTTAGGTTAGCTTCCCATTATGCGGTGTACACATGTACATGTGCTAAGTGAAAGTGCTATGAGCTCCATAGTGCATTTTAGGAATTAGGAGCTGGGGAGACTTGTTGAGACAGCATAACTGAGGGGAGATTGGATGAAGTGGGGTCAGGGAATTAAAGGAAGCTGCAAGACAGCCCCAACATCCAGCATCTAATGCTGGCAGCCTGTCTGATTCTAAGAGTCTGACAGCTGCTACGGGCTGGACAGCGCTGGGTGGTGCACTCAGTTTAGGGCAATATGCGGCCAGGGTCAAATGCCTAGAATGCAGACCGCCTTAAACATACATACCACTACATGCACCGCCCAGCCCTGTCCAGCCGCAGAAGCTGTCAGACTCTTACAATTTGACAGACTGCTGGCAGCGGGGCTGGACGGTGCGCCTGTGCCCTTCAGCCTCAGCTAAACGCTGAAGCCTCATGCGCCAGGGCTGAAAATCCAGTGTGTATGATGCCTAAACCTCAACTGTTCAATATATTAAAAAAAATTGTCAAACCCCCATGCCATGGCCATCTAGTTATCAGGGAAAAGAAGTACCATGGCTGCGTTTGAGGTACACGGGAGCATTAATCAGCAGAGGTACGTCTAATTCCTGATAAACAGAAGGCCAATGCACAGAGGGTCTATATTTTTATTTAAAAATAAATAAATGCCTTAACACATAAATATGAAAGAAAACGCATTATAGGTTTGTTACCTGCACAGTAGTGGAATTGAGGTATTCTGCACACACTCCCAGCGGCTGAACCAGAGCAGACACCGCCTGAGAGAGAAAAAATAAAGATTAGATGTTACGATGCTGGCAATTCAACCTGGAATATGTTCATAGATATGAAAGGATACGTTCACTTTCAGAAGACGTTACATGTTCCACTCTTTTTTTTTCATTCAACCTGTTCCAGCATCTGCAATCTCTTCAACGCACAAAAGCCTCAATGGTCCAAGTAAACTTTTTAAAAGTCCTAATCTAGATAGAGTCCTAAAAAGAGCACCCTCCTATTTTTTGGGTCTGCTAATCCTCTTGGAGGCTGTCTTTAATCACTAATCCTGGGGTCCTCCACCCTCCAGCTCCGGTCCTCTATGATGCAAAGAACAGCACTCTTGTATTGACATGGCCACAGCTCTCTGAACTGCTCTGTGAGCTCAGGCTGGCTTGATGATGTAGGGGGCAAGTCCTTGACGCCCTGGGCTCAAAGGTAGTGGGCTACGAGATAGCGGGTGACATTTACCACCAAAAAGGAGTGGTGTCTGGGGTGACCACTGCAGTGCTGCAGCATGGAAAGGGCAAGTTCTGCCTTCTGAACTTTTGGGGGGGGGGGGGGAGAGAAGTTTTTTTTTTAAATTACATTTTCAGAGGAGGTGGGGTTTAACCACTTGAAGACCCCTATAGCAGTTTTACTGCTACAGGGCAGTCCTCCTGTGCAAAATCACATCTATCTCTCTATCTACATAGATATAGATCTATCAATCTATCTATAGATCTATCAATCTATCTATAGATCTATCAATCTATCTATAGATCTATCAATCTATCTATAGATCTATCTATCCATATATCTATCCGTCCATATCCATCTATCCGTCCATATCCATCTATCCGTCCATATCCATCTATCCGTCCATATCCATCTATCCGTCCATATCCATCTATCCGTCCATATCCATCTATCCGTCCATATCCATCTATCCATATCCATCTATCCGTCCATATCCATCTATCCGTCCATATCCATCTATCCGTCCATATCCATCTATCCGTCCATATCCATCTATCCGTCCATATCCATCTATCCGTCCATATCCATCTATCCGTCCATATCCATCTATCCGTCCATATCCATCTATCCGTCCATATCCATCTATCCGTCCATATCCATCTATCCGTCCATATCCATCTATCCGTCCATATCCATCTATCCGTCCATATCCATCTATCCGTCCATATCTATCCGTCCATATCTATCCGTCCATATCTATCCGTCCATATCTATCTGTCTGTCTGTCTATTCATATCTATCTATCTGTCTGTCTATTCATATCTATGTCTGTCTGTCTGTCACTATCTATCTATCTATCAATTATCTATCTATAGATCTATATCTATAGATTTATATATCTATATATACATACACACACCGCCGGCTTGCTTCTGCTGTGAACACTCACAGCAGAAGCCAATCTGCGCATTCCGGTGAATGGATGTTCGCCAGCACCCAGCCGACGTTTGAGCAGGAGAAAGAAAAAAAAAAAAAAACAGAGCAATGCCTATGTAAACAAGCCAGAGCTCTGTTCTGACAGGTGGGAAAGTGAAAGATCCTGTGTCAATGCAAAGCTGGGAACTGATGGTGTACTTCCCCTAGTACATGCATCACCTAGTGTACATCAACCACATAGCTAGGCACACACTTAACCCTTTGATTGCCCTAGATGTTAACCCCTTCCCAACCTGTGTCACTAGTACAGTGATCAGTGCATATTTTTAGCACTGATCCTTGTATTAACGTCACTGGTTCCCACAAAGTGTCAGTGAAGATTTTTTTTTTTTTTTTTTTTCCAAAATTGCCGGTCTTTTTTTAGTTTTGTTTATAACGCAAAAAGGAAAAACCAAAGAGGTGATCGAATACCATCAAAAGAAAGCTCTATTTGTGGGGAAAAAAAGCCAAAAACTAAATTTGTGACCTCGTGAGGTTGTGCGTGACCTCGCAATTGTCAGTTAAAATAACGCAGTGTCGTATCTCAAAAAATGGCCTGGTCATGACCTATAAACTATAAGTGATATAACTGTTGCATTATAATTTGCAAGTGTTAGGCTACGTTCACACTAGCATTGTGTGCAGGCGGCAGAGAGGCGTTTGGGAAGCGTTTTTACCGCTTCCCAAACGCCTCTGCCAATTCTGCACATTACAGCTCTAACGGGAGCTTTTGCGTCGCGGCAAAACAGACGCCTCTGGTCGAGTCAGGAGGCGTTGAAGCCTCCTATTCTCGTCTATGGTGCCGCTCTGCAAACGCCCGGCCGGCGTTTGCGGTGTGGTTGTGACGCGGTTGCGGGGCGTTTGCGGAGCGGTAACACCATTCAAACTGCATTATAGGCGTTTGTGGGGCGTTATTAACGCTCGGCAAACGCCTAGCAACCGCTGCTAAACCGCGCATGCAGTTAAAAAACACTCCGCAAACGCCGGACCAACGCTTGCCAAACGCTATAGGGACGTTTGGCAAGCGTTGGCAAAACAGCCTAGTGTGAACGAGCCCTTAAGATACAGCAAAACAGATGAAATCAGATCAAACGATTTTATTATTTTCTCTAGACAAAAAACAATACATGCATCTTACCCCAAGTTCTATATTGTCGGAGTTCAGCTTGGACTGAATTGCAGAGAATCCACCTAGCTCTCCAAACTAGAGAAATGAGACAAATTTATTGACATTCAATTCCACTTGGCCAATAGAAATGTTGGTTTCTGTGTGTGCCTGAAAGACTTACCCTGTTCACCAGATCCACCAACCAACCATGAGGTTCCTGAGAGACACAAAAGAGGAAAATCGGCATCTGTTATACACAACGCATACAGTTGTGCTCAGGAGTTGGCCTCCCATTGGAGAATTTGTAATATACAGGATGTACCATTTAAAAGAAAAAGGTGGAAAAACCCATTTCTTTTATATCTTATGGAAATCATTCTGTAACTGTAGGTGATAACAGAATGGCCCAATCATAAAACAAAAAATGGCAACAAGTAAACCAATGAAATGCCCCCTGTCCAAAAGTCTGCATCCCCTTAGTTCATAATACCGTGTATTGCCCCCTTTAGCATCAATGACACTGTGCCGTCTTTTGTAATAGTTGTCTATGAGGCCCCCGAATTCTTGCAGGTGGCAGAGCTGCCCATTCATCTTGGCAAAATGCCTCCAGGTGGTCTTGTATGAACCGCACAACTGAGATCACCCTAGACGGCTCGATGATATTAAGGTCAGGAGACTGTGATGGCCACTCTAGAACCTTCACCTTTTTCTGAAGGGTCAGCTTGGCCTTGTGCTTAGGGTCACTGTCGCGTCCCATGTGCAGCTTTCGTGCAGAAGAACACAGATTGTCTGCCAGTATTTTCTGATAACACGCTGCATTCATCTAGCCATCAATTTGCACAAGATTGCTCGTGCCTTTGTCACTTTGGGAGACCCCTGTCTCAGCTCCCCATATCCCTCTTATGTGTAAGTCACCCTGTGCCTGTTAGGGATACAGGGTGATTGGTCCTAATATTGGGGTGGGGAGGGGTTGTGGATTGTTTAATGCCATGTGGTTGCATCCCATTGTTCTATTGTGTGTCTTGCAAATTATTATGGGATATATGTGTTTATGTGTATTAGCTTAGTGGGGGGGGGGTGTCTCAAGCAGCCCTCCCTCCTGATGGCACTGTCTGCTGGTGTGAAGTTTGAATACCTGTGTGTCTCCATACAAAATGTAGATTGCCCCGCCCTATGTCATTATGCAGGGAGGGGGGGGGGGGGACTGTCCCTTGAGTGTATATATCTTGTATCTGTGTTGAAATAAACTAGTTTTGCCTTCTCAATTACTTCAAGATTGGTGTTGTGTAGTCTTGTATGGTCGGCTGTGGTGTCTGTTGTCGGTGTTCGGATAGGGAAGCGGTAATCTAACGGAAATACCCAAGCGCAGTCTAGGTCGGTTCCGTTACACTCACACCCCCCCAAAACATCAGTGATCCACCACCATGCTTCACAGTGATGGTATTCTTGTCGCTATAGGTCTTGTTGACCCCTCTCCAAACACAGCGCTTAGAGTTGTGACCATAAAGCTCTAATTTGGTCTCGTCACACCAGATCAGTGTGCCAAAAGCTGTGAGGCGTGTCAAGGTGTTGTCGGGCATATTGTAACAGGGCTTTGTGTGGCACTGGTGAAGTAAAGGCTTCCTTCTGGCAACTCGACCATGCAGCTCATTTTTGTTCAAGCATCGTTGTATTGTGCTACTTGAAACAACCACACCGTCTTATCAGAGCGGCATGTAATTCTCCTGAGGTTTACCTATGGGTTTTTCTTTGTATCCTGAACAATTCTTCTGGCAGTTGTGGCTGCAATCTTTCTTGGCCTACCTGACCTTGGCTTGATGTCAAGAGATCCCTGAATTTCCCACTTCCTAATAAGTGATTGAAAAATACTGGCCAGCATATTCAAGGCTTTGGATATCTTTTTATATCCTTTTCCATTTTTATAAAGTTCCATTACCTTGTTACGCAAGTCTTTTGACAGTTCTTGTTTGCTTCCCATGGCTCAGTATCTAGCCTGCTCAGTGCTTCCACGTGAGAGCTGAAAAACTCATTGACTATTTATACACTGACACTAATTACATTTTAAAAAAGCCACAGATGTGGGAACTGAGCCATTATAACCAGTGTGTGTGTCACCTTGTGTGTGTGTCACCTTGTGTGTCTGTACCAAGGCCGAACATTCCAGGGTATGGAAACTTTTGATCATGGCCATTTGGGTGATTTCTGTTACTACAATTTAAAAAAAAGACAAACTATGTGATAATAAATGGCTTCATGTGATCACTATCCTTAAATAAAAGATAGTTTTTTCAGCAGTCATATTTTCAGTATCGATGCCAAAAATTCACAATTTTTGCCAGGGGGTGCAAATTTTTGCGTATATCTGTATTATAATGGAAGGAGATGGACAACTCTCACCTTCTGCATGGCGCTGGCTGGTGATAAGGCAAATGTATTTCCCTCGCCGAACACATCCGCCCAGTTCTTCTGGCACATCTTCATCCGGTTCTTGAAATGGTATTCATTATCAGGATTAAAAGCCTGGAGCGAGACATGGAAAAAGGAAACGTCTAATTAGCTTTAACCTCCCTAGCGGTCTGATTATGTCACTATTTCTCTGCTCAAAGCGGTACATTTTTTTGCATGGAAATATGTTGTTTTTTTATTGTAGGCCTGTAATTTTTAGGAATAACTCACTGAAATCTGTCTGAACAAGAGTCTAGTAAACATCCCGGGGAGGATAAAATATGAAACGCGAAATCATAAATTATAATTTAATAAATAATCATAAAAAATAATAATACATTTAATTCAATAATATAATCAAACCAAATACACTGAAATGTGAAATAGAGCGCCAAGTTCGCACATCGCTGAGCTCAGTCGCAGAATCGTTTTCAGTGTCTGATGAGGAATTTCCCCCACGAATCATTATCACTCAATTCTGCAAGTGGTTCTGATTTACTATCGCTGTTCTCTAGCCGGTCTAAAACCGCTTTTGACCTAAAGGGACGCTTTTTGGACGCCATGGACGTTTCTCAGTTTCCAGGCAGAAAGAACAGTAAAAATGCAGGCAGGGCGCCGGACAAAGCACTCGGGACAAAATGTATGTGAAATGGTTTGATACAGGAATGTTATACTATGTGATTTTAGTGTATTCAGTGAATGTCACTTTTAAAATTTTTGAATTTCCCGCCAGTTCCGTCCCCCGTACGTCCCGACGTCGCAGGGAACGGAACCCGGAAGACAGATGCCGACATCGGAGAGAAGAGATGGCTGGGGACACTGCAGGGGGGACATCGTGGGAGCGCAGGACAAGGTAAGTGAAGAAGAGATCCCGGAGCAACGCTGCAGTGTATTCCCGAGTGTAGCTCGGGGTTACCGATGGTACTGAAACTTTACCCCGAGCTACACTCAGGAATACCGCCAGGGGGGTTAAAGCACAGTCCACCCTTAAGACCATGTTTCATATTACACCCATAGAGTGTAAAATCAAGCATGTTCGTATACAGCATCCCCAAACCACCCTCACCAGAATCGCAGCGTGCATCATAATTGAACAGCCAGATATTTTTTTTTTTAAATTTAGCATAGCTCCGCCTTCATAGTTACATCATCTAATATAGTCCAACAACGTTACAAGTCCTATCTGCCACCAATGCAACCCAGCACAGCAACGGCAGCAGGGCGGAGACGGTACCATGTAGTCTAACCGCACTTCCTGCAACCGCGCAACAGAACATCCGTATGGGCAGGAGCCTGTGCCCTGCTCCTGCGACACAATTATCATGGGTGCAATGTTCTGCAGGCTTCTATGCAAAAGGTAGTAAATGCAAAAAGATCAATGTTAATGCATCTTAGATTGTAAGCTCCCAGGATCAGGGCCCTCCTATCCCTCTTGTATTGAACTGTATTGTTGCTGTATTGTCTCCTTTATATTGTAAAGCGCTGAGCAAACTGTTGGCGCCATAAAACCTGTATAATAATAATAATATATAAATCCTGTATAATAATATATAAATCCTGTATAATAATAATAATAATAATATATAAATCCTGTATAATAATAATAATAATATATAAATCCTGTATAATAATAATAATAATAATATATAAATCCTGTATAATAATAATATTAATTTACTTTTTGAAAAAGGTAGACTGTGCCTTTAAGACATTTAATGACATTTGTATTTCATTTTTTTGTTACTGTAAATTTTTTTCGTTTTTTAATATTGTACATTTTTATTAAGGGCCAGTTCCCATTTTGTTTTGAAAACAGAACATACCGACAACACCACCACTTTAAAGTGTAAACGTTGCAATGAAAGAAAGCCATCATTAGTATAAAACAAAAATCAGGAGAAATATGAACATAAATAAACAGCACGGTAATCTGCACAATTCAAAAACATAAATCGACATAAACCTGCACCTCGTTGGATGATTTGGACTCCATGCACACGTGGCGTTTTGATAACAAGCATGATTTACTGCATCTACAGACTGATTTTCCTGTTGTGGGTTTAGTAACACTTATTTATTTATTTCAGGTACTTATATAGTGCTGTCATTTTCCACAGCGTTTTACATATATATATATATATATATATATATATTTATTGTACATTCACATCAGTCCCTAACCCTCAAGGGGCGTACAATCTAAGGTCCCTAACTCACATTCATACATACACATACTAGGGACAATTTAGACAGGATCCAATTAACCTACCAGCATGTCTTTGGAGTGTGGGAGGAAACCGGAGTACCCGGAGGAAACCCACACAGGCACAGAGAAAACATGCAAACTCCAGGCAGGCAGTGCCGTGGTTGGGATTCGAACCAACGACCCTAGTACAGCTAACCATTTAGCCACTGTGCTGCCCATACACTTTAAGGAAAACCTTTGCTATTGTATTTTATATGATCAGTTTGAACTGCCCAGGCTTGTGCCAGGCTTACTTTAAAACAAAGATGGCGAGGCGTTTACCGGTCATGGAAAAATGGCGTCTGCCCAGAGGTCCCTACGGTGTGTTAACTACACACATTTCTCACGGAACTCCACACTCCTAACTCCTCTCCACAGAACACAAGCGAGGCGTCTTATCGATCCCATTCATGTTAATGCATTAGAGGGGAATAGAGCACTCAGTCCTTCCTGTGAACCGCCTGGAGCTCTTAATAAATGACTGAGCGAGTAAATTGGCAGAACTGTTAATGGAAGCAATAAGAGCCTGGCGCAGCCTGAACCAGACAAGGGCGCACACATTACCATTGTCAGCACGCCCAGCAGACCGCTGGGAATCGGCTCCTGCTTGATTCTTTCTGCCACCAGCTCGATCAGCAACATCAGCATGTTGTAGATGCCCTCGTGGATCTCGGTGCCCCATTTGTGGACAGCGGTGGAGGTTAGCAACTTGAAGAGAAAACAGAAAAGTGACATCAGACCCGGCACAGAGCGATAAAACATTGATGGATTTTCACAGATTGCTTTTGGGTAACCAAAAGGCGGCCTGATCTTATCACAGGCATGACGGATGGTCTCAGGCCCATTGCCACCTAAAACCTACAGTGACGGTCTGTCACCTTGTCGGGTGTGCATTAGCACAGTGACCTACCTGTCGCCTTTTCTGCTTGGATTGGGATCTAGGCAGGCTGGAAAATCTGTGTGTCAGTGATTGTTAGCCTTGGTTAACCCCTTCTTACCCAGCTCTGGCATCCTTTTAACCACTTGCAGACTTGTCTGCCCGCAATGTACTGTGGACGAGCGGCTTGCACAGGAAAAAGATGTACCTGTATGTCTCTGCCTGCTACCAGGCATGTGTGATTTGCCAACCCGGAGCCCTGGTGTGATTTGCAGACCTGGAGCCCCAGGATGATTTGTCATCCCAGTACACCGGTATGATTCGTCAGCCCGGAGCCCGGTATGATTCGTCAGCCCGGAGCCCCGGTATGATTCGTCAGCCCGGAGCCCCGGTATGATTCGTCAGCCCGGAGCCCCGGTATGATTCGTCAGCCCGGAGCCCCGGTATGATTCGTCAGCCCGGAGCCCGGTTACAAATTCGTTGGCCCGTGTTGGCAAATCACACTGGGGCTCAGTGTTGACAAATCACACCGGGGCTCCGGGTTGACAAATCACACCGGGGCTCCGGGTTGACAAATCACACCGGGGCTCCGGGTTGACAAATCACACCGGGGCTCCGGGTTGACAAATCACACCGGGGCTCCGGGTTGACAAATCTCACCGGGGCTCCGGGTTGACATATCACACCGGGGCTCCGGGTTGACAAATCATACCGGGGCTCTGTGTTGACAAATCAACACAGAGCTCTGTACAGAGGGAACGATCTCTACGTTTCTCATCCCTGTAAAGCACGGATGAGAAACTAAGAGATCTTCTAGTGAAAGAAGCACACTGTAAACATAGGTAAGCACACATTTAAACCCCTTGGACCGCCCTAGATGTTAACCCCTAACCAGCCAGTGTCATTAGTACAGTGTATAGTATTATCACTGATCACCATTAGTGTCACTGGTGATGTCAGTGACAGTTAGTTTCCCCCCAACGTCAGTGTCCAACTGCCTGCCAAACTACCACAGGCCCATTATAAGTCGCTGATCACTGCCATTACTAGTATACAAAATTTCAGTATTCATCCCATAGAACGTAGATTCTGTAACTTTCATGCAAAACAACCAATATACACTTTTTGGGATTTTTTTTTTTTTTATCAGACATGTAGCAGAATACATTTTGGCCAAAACTTATGAAGAATTTTGTTTTAATGGCTGTTTTGTAGCAGAAAGTGAAAAAAAAAAAAAAAGCTTTTTTTCAAAATTTTTGGTCATTTTTAATTGGTGATCAAATACCACCAAAAGAAAGCTCTGTTTGTGTGATACAAATTTCATTTGCGTACTGCAAAGCATGACCATGCAATTACCAGTTAAAGTAGCGCAGTGTCGAATAGCAAAAAATGTCCTGGTCACGAAGGGCGTAAAACCTTCCGAAGCTCAAGTGATTAAAAAGGGTCTGTACACACCCAGGGGGGTGGTACAGACCAGCTGATCAGATGACTGGGATTGGCTGCCACAGAGGTCACATGATTTTTGGGATGAAATGGATAGACTTGTGTGTTTTTTCAACCACATTAATTAAGTAACTATGATTGAGAGCCAATTCCATCGGCTCCCAATCAGTACAGACCGAAAGCCGTCTGATAGCTCGGTCTATGTGCTTGGAGCGCAGTCTCAGCCAAGAACCATGGACGCATATGTGTGGCCAGGGGCGGACTGACAACTCATGGGGCCCCCGGGCAATAGGGGATCATGGGGCCCCTGTGTCCATGCCCAAACTGAAAAAAGCCTATGAAAAAGGTACCAGGGGCATCTCATGGGGCCCCCTACTGACCCCGGGCCCTCGGGCAGTGCCCAAGTTTCCAAATGGTCAGTCCGCCCCTGGGTGTGGCATCAGGGTGTTAAAGCGCACTCTCTCTGCAGCCGCTCACATGTGCTCTGTGAGCTACAAGAGTTCAGCCCCTCACCTACCGGACACTTTTACCCCCTTCCTGTCCAGGCCAATTTTCAGCTTTCAGCGCTATCGCACTATGAATGACAATTGCGCTGTCATGCAACATTGTACCCGTATGAAATTATCGTTTTTTTTCACACAGAGCTTTCTTTTGGTGGTATTTAATCGTCACTAGGCGTTTTATTTTTTTGCACTATAAACAAAAAAAAAAAAAGAGCAAAAAATGTAAAAAAAAAAAAAAAAAAAAAAAAAAAAAAAAAAGGTTTTCTTTATTTCTATAATAAAATTTTGCAAACAGGTAATTTTTTCTCCTTCACTGATGTGCGTTGATGAGGATGCACTAATAGGCAGCACTGATGCTGCTGCACGGGGATATGCAGCAATGATGGACACTGATAGGAGGCACTGACTGATGGCACTGCTGGGCAGCACTGACTGATGGCACTGCTGGGCGGCACTGATGGGTTGCACTGCAGGGCACTGTTCATCAGGGCAGTGATGATCAGTGCCGATCTGCTCTGTGACAGCGTGAGGAAAGTGCTGCCGATAACCAGCAACTGTATTTACTCCGTGATCTGCTGTGTCATTGGGCACAGCTGATCACGTGGTAAAAAGCCGCTGTGATTGGCCTTTTACCTCATCATGTGATCAGCTGTGTCCATAGGACAAAGCAATCACAGAGATCGCGGGTACGTGCCATTGGCGGCACGCGGGAGAACGCGTTATGGGAGGACATCATAGGACGCCCTCCCAGAACTGGACAACCGCGCTGTAGCTGTTATTCATCTACAGTGCGGTTAGCAAGTGATTATAGTGACCTGAACTCAAAAAGTGAAGATTTGCTGTTATAAGGAACACCTAAACATTTTTTTTTGCCTTAAATGCCTCTTAAAAAATAGCAGCACTTCCCAGTGTGTGAGTTTGACTTGGTACTCCTGTTCTCTAACCTTAATAGCTGTATATCTGCAGTGCGAGATCATCTAAGCCAGGGGTCTCAAGGGCCAGTTTACGTTCGTTCAGACTTTGAGGCCAGAGAGATTAGAAAATGCCTTGGCGTCAATGGGAGTAAACAATCTCCCATCACTGGTATTCATGAGAGGAATATTGCCCCAGTGTTGGTATCAGTGGGAGGAATAGTGTCCCATCATTGGGCTTCAGTGGGAAGAATAGTGTCCCTGCCATTGGTGTCAGTGTGAGGAATAGTGTCCCATCATTGGTATCAGTGGGAGGAATAGTGCCCCATCATTGGTGTCAGTGGGAGGAATAGTGCCCCATCATTGGTGTCAGTGGGAGGAACAATGCCCCATCATTGGTGTCAGTGGGAGGAACAGTGCCCCATCATTGGTATCAGTGGGAGGAATAGTGCCCCATCATTGGTGTCAGTGGGAGGAATAGTGCCCCATCATTGGTGTCAGTGGGAGGAACAGTGCCCCATCATTGGTGTCAGTGGGAGGAACAGTGCCCCATCATTGGTGTCAGTGGGAGGAACAGTGCCCCATCATTGGTGTCAGTGGGAGGAATAGTGCCCCATCATTGGTGTCAGTGGGAGGAATAGTGCCCCATCATTGGTGTCAGTGGGAGGAATAGTGCCCCATCATTGGTGTCAGTGGGAGGAATAGTGCCCCATCATTGGTATCAGTGGGAGGAATAGTGCCCCATCATTGGTATCAGTGGGAGGAATAGTGCCCCATCATTGGTGTCAGTGGAGGGGAATAGTGCCCCATCATTGGTATCAGTGGGAGGAATAGTGCCCCATCATTGGTATCAGTGGGAGGAATAGTGTCCCATCATTGGTATCAGTGGGAGGAATAGTGCCCCATCATTGGTATCAGTGGGAGGAATAGTGCCCCATCATTGGTATCAGTGGGAGGAATAGTGTCCTGCCATTGGTGTCAGTGTGAGGAATAGTGCCCCATCATTGGTGTCACTGGGAGGAATAGTGCCCCATCATTGGTGTCAGTGGGAGGAATAGTGTCCCCATCATTGGTGTCAGTGGGAGGAATAGTGCCCCATCATTCAGTGAATAGTGCCCCATCATTGGTATCAGTGGGAGGAATAGTGACCCATCATTGGTGTCAGTGGGAGGAATAGTGTCCTGCCATTGGTGTCAGTGTGAGGAATAGTGTCTTATCATTGTTATCAGTGACAAGAACTATGCCCTGTTGTTGATGTCAGTGGAAGGAAAAGTGCCCCAGCTCTGTCATGAGGAAGCAAAGCCCTGCTGATCTACCAAGATGGCCACCTCCACACAGTGCAGTACAAGGCATGGTAAGTTAGTAATAGGGAAAAGATTAGCAGCAGAGAGGTCATCGACAATACTGATGACTCTCCCAGGAGCAGGGCCCTCCTAACCCTCTTCTATTGAACTGTATTGTCTCCCGTTATATTGTAAAGTGCTGAGAAAACTGTTGGCGCCATATAAATCCTGTATTATAATAATAATAATAATAATAATAATAAGGATAATAGTCCTTTGCCCTCCACTTGCCATTTTAGTTACAGAAATTCCATTCTCCGGGTCGTCTATCTAGGCTGCAACATTTCAAAGGATCTTGTTCTGTATATTTCCCAGCGAACGAGTCAGGGATCCAAGTCTATTAATGGACACACCATGCTGTACACCTGCCAACATGCGCTATTCTCACAGCAACATAATAATCTGTTCTTCTCTTTTCATATCCTTTGTAATTACAGGTTACAAAAGTTAATAAGTGACTGAAAACAACTCAATCTGGTTCTGGGTAAACTAATCAGACCAGGTGACTGTAATAATAAAGGCAAGGTACCAACAGTAGACTATTAAAAAGTCAGGCGGCAGGATATATGCT